ATGTGTGGTTACTGCAAAGCTAAGCTGAATAGAAGAAAACTGTGTTTTTGGTTTATTTGAGCTCTGCTAGACTCAAAAGAGCTATACTTAGAAATACAAGGATTAAAAAGTGTTTGTTTTGTTAGAATTGCCAATTCACATGCACAGGAATGACAAAAAACATTGATGCCCACAGTCAGTCAGCTTTGATCCAAACACAACCAAACCCAAAAGAGTTCCTTTGCGGCCTCTTGGCAGGGAGTTACAAAGGAACCACAGAACAGAGTACTGTGTTGGTGGCACAGGGAGGGAAGGGAGCCTGACACTGACACCCCCAGGGCAGCATCCTGGGTCTGTGGCATTGTCTTGTTGCCCCATGAGGATACCTCCTGTGGGAGGACAGGAAAGGCCCCAACAACAGAATCAGCAAGGCTGCTTTTTTCAGCTGGGAGTGCTTATAGCTAGGCTGGTTCTGTGGTGACTTGGTTAAAAATCTCTAAAATGAAGAGGAGGTACATAACAACCCAACAAAAATAACTTTGCTTTGGCCGGTAGAGACAGTCCAATATCTCACACATCTTTATCTGTTGGGTTCTCTTATTATACGTGCACTCAGTGTGAAGAGTGGGGCATGGTGGTCCTCCAGCTAGTGCTGCTCAGAGCCCATGGCGCCGAACTGTCATGGCATGGGGTGAGGAATGAGGGCAACCCTACATGCACCCATGCCTGCTGCATGCACCCGTGCCTGCTGCCCCGGCAGCCAGAGAGGGCAGTGGAAAGCACAGAGTGATGTGGTGATGGGGTGATCATCTTTCATGAGAAGAGAGTGATCTCTTTCTGCCTCCCTCTGCTTCCACTGGTGCACACACAGACACAGGATGCCACTCTAAGTGTCACATGTCTGAAGCAGTCCTGCAGGACTTGAAATGCTCTCTTTAAGGTTTCACTGTGAAAGCCATTTCCAAAAGGAAAACCAGGTCAGTAGCTGGATACATACTTAATCAGGAGAAAATGAGCAAGTTGATATGTGATTGCTGTGTTCAGTTAACTTGTCCATGAATGAGCTGTCCTGGTCCACACAAAAGGACTCCAGGGGCTCATTTCTTGGCAGCCAGCTCAGATTACTCAGAGCTGTGTGCTTTGGTCCGGCAGATTTTCCACATCCGTAGCTGAGTTGTTGGGAATTGTTGTCCTTCCATGTTATGAATTCTCTGGAGCCGTAGGTATCAGTTGTAGTATTCACTCTTAGAATTACAGCAAAATTTGAATACGAGAGTGTATAACCAAGATGTTATAACTGCAATATAATCAAAAGAGTAAGGCAAAAGCAAACAAGGATCGCAAAAGAGAATAAGTAGAAGAGCTTACCCTTGGGTTGAGCTCACTAGAAGATACCAAAAGAGGAGGATCTCCAGAAGAGATCCTTCCCCTCTGGTAGCCAGCTCTTAAATAGGTCCAGGAGGGGTGGAGCCTGGCTCCACCCCTTCCGGCAGCACAGGTGAATTGCCTCCACCTGTGCTCCTCTGGCTGACTCAAGGCTCACCTCAGGTGATTAATCAGAGGCTCAGGCCGTGACTCAGCAGTTCCCATACAGAGAGAAATCCTGATCTAGTCAGACTGAAGGCGGATCCCAGATGGAATGAAATGTGCAGCTGGGATGTGTCTGGAAGTACATGATAAGATCTGCTCTTTTCAGTTCTAACCTGGCAAAAGTTGGCTTGAATTGGATGGTCAGAATACAGTATATAGAGAAAAGGCCTTAAAATGGAGCCCCGCAGAATCCCAGTGGGGACAAATAGGGCAACTCTTAGGACAAAGAAACCAATCACCCAATGCAGCCATGGTTTAGTTGCCAAGGGACATTCTCAGGCACATATTGCCATGGCTTTATGCTGTCGTGAGCCACCTCTCTGCCAACAGCTATAAATATGGGAACCCTGACAACAGAACACCAGCTGTGGTGCAAGGACTCCAGCCAATAAAGGCAGGCAGGCAACTCCAGCCAGCCAGCCATGACAGGTGGGAGTCCTGACTCCAGCCAGCCAGCCACCCAAGGCAGGCAGGCAGGGGCTGCAAATTCAGCCAGCCAAGGCTGGCAGGCAGGGGCCACGACTCCAGCCAGCCAGCCAGCCAAGGCTGGCAGGAAGGGTCTGTGATGCCAGCCAGGAGGCAAAATAAAAAATCAGTAAGTAAAAAATAAATAAAACAGTCCTTGGTCATTCCTGATTTCTCAAGACCATGCTGGGGCAGATTCTCCCCATAACATAATTTCAGAGACACAACTAATTGGGTGTTTTTGTCTTTTTTTTGTTTGTTTTGTTTTAGTATATGTTAAGGCATTGTCTAATAACAAGTCAACTTCTTGGAGTGGGTCCAGAGGAGGGCCACTAAGATGATGAGAGGGCTGGAGCACCTCTCCTGTGAAGAAAGGTTGAAGGAACCGCGCTTGTTTAGCTTAGAAAGAGAAGGCTCCAGGGCCTTCCAGTACCTGAGGGGAGCGTATAAAGAGGAGGGGAATGGCTGATTATGAGGGTCGCAGTGCTAGGACAAGGGGGAATGGTCTTAAACTGAGACAGGGCAGGTTTCGGTTAGATATTAAAAGGAAGATTTTCACACAAAGGGTGGTGATGCACAGGTTGCCCAAGGAGGTTGTGGATGCCCCCTCCCTGGAAGCATTCAAGAATTTTTGTGGAGACAATTCACCCAAACTACTATGATGATGTCAGCTTACAAGCTGTCTTTTTGGTGTAACATTTAAAGGGTACACAGCTTCAGTTTTAGAAGAATGAACTGTATTCTGAAGGATCTGTAAGTTTTCAAAAACGAAGAAGAAAAATATTTTTTTAAGAAGTTATAGGCCAGGGAGAATTGTTAATCAGAGTTGCAGCTGTGACAGTTCTCTTGAAGTTCTGTTTGAAATGACGAGTGATATTTACCATTGCAGTTTTCTTTTACAACCAGTGAAGTGCAGGCTGGGATAATTCTGTATCACTTCCTCCTTAAATTAAAAAGTATGTCTTAAAAATTAGTAGTTCCTTTGTTTAAAAATCAAATAGCTAGTGTAGATAATGTCTTAACTGTGTTTCAGTATTCTCACTAAGTAATTTCTATATTACAATTATTTGGAGAGACTGGAGAGTAGCCCTGCTAAAGGGATCTGAGGGTACTCGTTGACAGCAAGTAGAACAGGAGCCAGAAGCGTGCCCAGGCAGCCCAGAGAGCCAACTGCACACAGCGGGCACAGCCCCGAGCTGCTGGATTTCATGCAGCATTTAGGCACTTGGACTGGATATTCTTGGAGGTCTTTTCCAACCTTGCAATTCTGTGATGTGGAGAACATTTCAGACACAGTGTTGGACTTTGGGTGGTGCTGTGTGGAGCTGGATTCGATCACCCTTGTGGGTCCCTCCCAGCTTGGGATATTCTGTGTTCTTTTTTTGCACTAATACGGTATTTGCTTTCTTCCAATCTCCTTATGCTTTCTTAAATATTCAAGAAATGAAAATTAATAGTCTATAATATGACTTACATATCTTCCTAAATTCTTGAATTTCAATTGATCTGCAGGTTTAAAAATATTTACTAGAAGAATTGTTCACATTCTTTGAGATACTGTTGGATTGCAAAGTATTTTCACCATGTAATTTAGGTGTTATTTAACAAATGTGACAAAATAATTGTTAGGCACTTTTATTTTTTTTTTGTATTTTTCTTACTTTTCTTGTATGTTCTTCCTGATTCTGGCATTTTCATTTAGTATGGGTCCAGTAAAACAATGGAAAAGATTTTTATTATTTGAAGTAAACCCCATCACCTTCAATTAAGCTATCTACATGGTCTTCCTTATCCCCAGTGCTTACTTGTTTTTCTTATCAATCTCTTACAATTTAAAACTTCTGGTTTTATAGCCACTATTAAGAAAAGTCTTCCATTATGTCACCTGAGCTGGTTGCTTTCAGTTCTCTCTGGTTGTGGTTTAGTGAGCATCTGAGCCAGGAGGACAATGTGTTGCTGCAAAGACGAAATCTCATTCCCTGCCCCTTCTTAGACGAGGTGTTTGCCAGACCCTGATGCTGGCTAGCCTAGCATATATCTGATTTATGTCTGGTCAGTGAGTGGAGTTGGCTCCCAGGAAGGTACAAAGCGTGCTGGAGCTGGTGCAAGGTGTAGTGAGTGAAGAGAAGCGTGGCTTCTGTGTTTTGGCAGTACCAGGCTGCCCAGCTGGCGCATTGTGAAGCTGTGTTCTACCTGAGTTTAGTTGTTTTTAATTAGCATAGAGATGTCAGTCATGGATTTGCTGCTTTATAAGCATGAACAAAATCTCAAGTTGACCTTGAAGTACCACCTGCCTATAGAATTAGTTTGAACTGACTATAAACAATAAATTCAATGAAGCAATGGGACTTGCTTGCCAGAATTATGTGGTTAACAGCAGGACAAGGGGAAATGGTTGTAAGTTGAGGGAGGGAAGATTTAGGTTGGATGTCAGGGGGAAATTCTTTACTATGAGAGTGGTGAGGTGCTGGAACAGGCTGCCCAGAGAGGCTGTGGACGCCCTGTCCCTGGAGGTGTTCAAGGGCAGGCTGGATTGGGTCCTGGGGAGCCTGGACTAATATTAAATGGAGAGGTTGGTGGCCCTGCATGTGACGGGGGGATTGGAGATTCACGATCCTGGAGGTCCCTTCCAACCCAGGCCGTTCTGTGATTCTGTGGCTCTGCCATCCAGCCAGGCAGCTTAACATGAAGTATGATTATATATTTGATGCCTTCACCAATAAGTGTTTCTAAATAGCTAAGGTTTGGAAATGAAAAACATGCTAAGTTACAGAACAAAAGTTTTAGCAAGAAATACAACTAGGACAACAGCAAACCAAGTAATTCTTTAGGTTGTAATTATTAAAATATTCATCCCTGATTTAAAACCAGAAATAACGGATAAAAATTGAAATGAAAGCAGATGAAGAAAAGCAGAATCTGGGTAGTAACTGTAAGTAATTCAGAAGTAATTCAGAGGAGGCCTCTTGTGTTTCTAAGATTACTTTATTCTTTACAGGCTGGATGCTTTCTACTGGTATTAACTAAAGGAGAGCCTAGAAATCAACATATTAGGAAACATGGAGGTTAAACAGCATTGAGAAGGAATACAGAGTAGTGTAATAGTATGCACAGCTGTAGATAAACATCAGGTTTTCACAGAATCACAGAACAGAGAGTCCTGGAAATCAGTGCCATCCAGAGCACCCTGTGGTAAGTGTGCTATTTGCTGCTTTAGTTCCTTGAACTGTTTTTAGCTTACTCTGTCCTTGCAGGAATTTGAACTTTTTCTTACGTGCTCTAAAGTAAAACTGCCCTTTCATGGCAACTGAAATGGAAACCAATTATCTAGCAATGTCAAGAAAACAAAAGGTACACAGATATTAAGATATGCATCTTAAATTTCTCAAACGTGAAACTTGAAATGTAATGCTTTTAGGCATGATGCAAGACCTTCTCTTCTAGTAGATGGTAAAACCCACAATACTGTAACTCCCACAGTTCCACTGAATATCAAATAATTTATCTTCTTCAAATACTTTACATAAATGTTATTTGGCAGTTGTAAAAGTAGTCCATTATCCCCCAAAAAACTACCTGATAAAGCACTTTGATAATGAGAACCCTGCTTGGGCAGTATAAATCCAGTTCTGAGTAGCAGCGGGGCACTGGCTTACAGTAACAAGTCAAATGTTAACAGAAATGCCAGGGCAGTGAGTTAAATGACTACTAGAAGGACTGAGCAGAGCTGCACCCTTTTACTTCCCTAGCCAATGGCTGCGGACGCTGAGTGAGTAGAAAGCAAAAGACTTTGAAGTTCTCCTTGCCACAGTTCACTATTCTGCCTTTGCTGAAGACACAGTCCTGAGCTAGGTGGAAATTTGTTCAGGCCACAGGGCAGTGGCCATAGGGCACTTGCATTCTTCATTCCCATCTTGCAGCAGAAGATAATGATCAAACCCTGGGACCATTATTTTCCAGCGTGACAAGAATGGTACTTACTGAAATGATATCCAGCCAGCTGAAAGAGTCAATTTAATAAGTCATTACTTATTATACTATACAGACTGTGGGACCGGTGGGAAAGAAACAGATTCTAACGTATGTTTGTTCAGCTCCAACTTCTCTTTCTGTCCTTGCAGCTCTGAAGAACTATTCCCAGACCATGGAAACAGTATTACTTAAATAACCTCCTGTTTTGTGGAACTGCACAGTTGACAAAATATATGCTTATTAGAGAAGTTGTGGAATGTGCAGCACTTGGTAGCTCTATTAAGAGACAGCAGCAACAAGCTAGCTCACTTCTACAAAGCCATGTATTACTTACAAATCAATTAACACTTGACAAACATTTAGTACAGACACAGTTTCATCATATTTTTTATCGCTCGGAAACCCGGTGGGATTGACTGCAAAAGCATAAGCAATATAAATCAGTATTTAAATTATATATTACATGTTTATTATGGGTGCAACATTTTTTAAACTTACATTTTATGAAAAATCAGAAGTATTTACAATTTTTGTAAGATAAACCTGTGTGCTCTAATTTACAGTCTGACGTAGTAATAATCCATAAAAACTCAGATCCTTTAGAGTTGTGTTTACAAATCAATTTTTTTTCAGAGGCAGCTACAAAGGAAATGGCTGTATACACAAGCAAGAACCAGCTTGCTACATGCTTTTTTTCTCTTCCCCATCAGATTGCTACATGTACTTTTTACACTTTTTGAATTGCTTTACAAAAAGTCTATATAGGCTTGCATGGCTTCAAAATTGTAACCTGCACCCAATGCAAATGTATCTATAATCACCCGAATGAGGACTAGTTTGAAAGTGCTGAAAAGTAGCTACTTCATTTAACTCAGAAATGGAAGCAATAGTTCATTAAGAGCAGCTATACAGTTTTGGGTTTTCATTAATGAAACACTGTCATGTTAAACATAGTTTGATTGCAAAGCAGATTACAATTAAGACTCCAGTAAAAAGACTGTACCATTTCATATCCGTTAGAAATTCTCCACTCAATAAGATCAGCAAATTAAAAGCCAGATATACTTTTCCAATCAGATGTAAAGTTCAAGATATCCTTAGAGCTAATAATGGCAATCCCATCTGCCAAACGTATACCATACATCAGATTTTATGTAGCCTCTCCAAAGCTTAATGTATTGTAAAGCTTCAGCAGTCCGATTCACCACTGGTTTTGCATGAATTAATTCAAGCAAGTTTTATTGTCTTCATAGAGAATTTGAAATAGATTCAGTATTCAGAATGGTCATATAAAATTCCCACTTGAAGGTTATTAAATTACTTTGCTCCAGTACTTTTTGATTTCTGTACTGAAAAAATCATTTGATAATACAGATACATAAAAGATTTTCTAAACTAGTTACTTGTTTTAAAAAATGTTACTAGTGTGTCACTTTTCTTAGGCTGCAGCAAGAAGAGCAGAAGAGAAATATTAAAACTGCTAGTTACAGAGAAAAAGTAAAACTAATAGAAATGGCAGTACAGTCATCTTGCTGCCATAATATCCCCTTCTTAAATGATATTCCTCCCAAAGTACTGCTTACATTCACATCATTCCAAAAGCACTTAATGCAGTCAGTGTAAAGGGAAACGCTGGTTTCTTTTAAAAGCATCGTTACCACCTTTCAAGATTCTCATCTTTGGTGACATTGAAGTTAGTACATCAAAATTCCAAAGTCCTGCATGATGCACCTCCCTTTACTATGGATGCATTTATTGCAATTACCCCATGAGGGAGTAATCTACTATTTTAATCTCCTTTAAAACAACCTCCAGCTTCTGCAGATCTCCCTTTTAGATCCCCATCAAAAGAATTTTTGTGAAGTTGTATTATACAAACACCACACTTTCTTCACGAATGGCCAAACTTTGAAAGAGGAAGTGAGGCACATGAATAACGAATTGGATAGGCACAGGCTTTTTTAAAGGCACAAATGTTATGAAATTCATATAAAAATAAATTAAATCTACAGCATTAATTCAAACAATCACAACACCCATAAAATTCACTAACTGCAGAAGTAAATCTTTTCTGTCTTTTGCAATTTTGTAACACATTGCACTTAGGAGAAAAAACACTATATAAAACAACATACACGTTAATAATATATGATACATGGGCATCAAGTTACATTTTTTATACATCTCTAACTCAAATATTTTTATGGCACAAGAAGAACTACATAAAAGTTTGCCCCTTTTTCTTTAAAAACTGGCAATGAAGGAATCTGAAAAATGAGTATTATGGAAAGCTCAAATATTCTTACTTGCTCTCCTACATTTTTATGTTTAATGTTTACAGTATAGCATACGATTTCATACTTTCATTACAACTATTGATTACTATTTTGACTTCTAGATAAATTTACCAAAATTTTAACAAAGTTTCCCCAATATTGCAGTTGATCATTTACAGACAGTGTTGAAGTTAACTTCAGTGCTATTATAAAGTAATACAAGCTCTTCAAAATGACTTTTGAAAGTGCATTTTCTGTCCTGCGGTTTGGCCTCAAAGTAGGTCAATATTTAAAAAAAAAATAATGCATGTGAAAATAGTGTTTGACAAGTAGAAGGGGCAGAGTGGGTTTCTTGTACTCCTTTAATGACACGACTTTCACAGGTTCATCAGCAGTCTGCCATATACCGTCCTGAAAAATAAAGACAGAGTTTTTCTTGCAGTCAGTCGATGAAACAGATTTTGTCAGTATTCTCCTGTGAGCAGTTTGACTAACTACGGAGAAATGAAAAACCACCAGTAGTTTTCAGCCACGTTTTAAGGAAAGGTAAGTATTTATACACCATCTGTTCCACAGTTTAATGTTCTGTAACACAGCACTACAGAATACGTAATATTAATTTGAACATATAAGCATGTCAGCATCTTACCAGTGGCAAATCTCTTCTTAAGGAGGGAAAGCCGATAGCCAGTGCCTACCAGCTCTACATCTACTCCTGAAAGAGTGCTTCCTTCACTTATGAATTGCACTGCAAGTGTTGCTGGTTTACTGGGTCCTTCTGAAAGTTCAAATTTTGCCCTGAGGGATCCAGAACCTATAGAAACCAGTAAGGAAGGAAAACCTCAATTTTCTAATTAAGACAAGATCCGACTAAATACATTTCCCAAAACACTTCAGTTGATCTTTCACAGACAGGGGTGAAGCTCAGTTCAGTGTTGCTATACAGCAGTAGTAGTTCTTAATCACTTTAGTAACACTTCTGTAGGATAGCACAAGGCATTAAAAAACACTGTTATTTCTCCCTTTTTTGAGTTCTTAACCAAGTGTTTTCTTGTTCTTGCACTATCTAGTGGGGATAAAATGAGATTTAAATAATAATGGAATAGTAAAAGTCCAGAATTTTTACTTCTTTAAAATAACTTGCTATTCCTAGTCAGTAGGAACTGCTAATTGATGAGGAAAGTTAGTGACTAAAAAGTTACTGGGTTAAAAACAGGGATTAATGAATGAAATTGTTTTACGCAATGACTTGTTCCTGATAAATTTGCCTTAAAGTCCACTTCATTTCTTCAATGATGTATCATAGTTTGGGTAACTGGTATTTCAAAGTTGGCTTTGTGTTTTATACGTCTGCAATTCACAGCTCACATAATGTGTTGGACTGTAAAAAATACACATTTTACCACCATATACACAGAACAAAGTGTACTTCAAGCCATTTGTCCTAATAGTAACAGTCCTTCTGTAACTTCTCATGGCATTATATTCTCACTGGGTTGTGAGTACAAAGTATTTACGCTCAAGAAAAAGATGTCAGTAAGAGAAGATAAAGTCACAGAACCAGTCAGATATGTTCACATCTACTGAAGTTGTGATCTGAGTCAATGCTGCTCTGCAGGTGTGGAGTAGTTCTTCATCTGGCTGCATTCATGTTTTAGCATGACTTCGTTCTTTTAAAAGATTAACAATTAGGTAACAAATTAAGTAAAAAAAAATTAGGTAAAAAAAAAAAGATTAACAATAAGGTAACAAAAATGAAAAACGAGAAGGCTATCCCTGCATAATCAAAGCAGATTGAAGACAGGAAGCAAACAACTGTGAGGTCATTGAATGATTGAAGTACACTGTATGACAGCAACAACCTCTGGCAGATCAAATTCCCTCAAATTTTGTTTGAATGACCACTACAAATCTGCAGTCTTTGCAGCAACAGAAAACGTCTTCCCTTCCCAGGCTTCCCTTTTGTCCCTGCTTTTCTAATTTGGAAAAACATCATACCTACAAAGGTTCTAAGGACTGTGATATCAACTGGCCTTCAGGGAAAGGCAGCTGGACAGAAGATATCTACTGATTCCTTACAAAGCAATGTTATATAAGTTACTGCTCTGAGCATGTAGCATAGGTTTTTTGTTGTTATTTATTTGTTTTTGGAGCCATTTTCCAAAACAAATGCTGGTCAAGAACAATCTGTAGCTGAGCCTGTCTTAGAACAGCATTTTCATTCCAGTTCTTCCGCTTTTTCCACTTCATTTCAATTGTCAGTGTGTGAAAAAAAGAACAGAACAATTTATTAAATATTTAACATATTTTTTCTTTGAAAGACTGTTCATTTTCAAATAGCATTGATGCAGTAATTTCCTATTTCAGTTTGAAATCTATTTTAGAGCTAACAACTTCCCAGGGTTTCACCAATTTTCCTTTTATAATTAACTATTTATATTTTAGCATCTCACTTTTAACAGAATCTTTCAGGAGGAACTTCACTGAGAAGTTGAACTGGTCAACAGGATGCAAGATGAGATAAAGTGTATACATGCATGAGGGTGCAGAAGCTAAAATGATTACATTTTTACTGTTACCATTTTTCTGTAGAACAAAAAAAAAAGTTCAACTTGCCTCCATTCTCAGATTTCTCTGAAATGCTAGATAGTTTCCAGTAAGCTTTCATCTGGTCTGAATTCCTGTGAGAGAAAGGTTGGTTTGTTACAAGCATCAATTTTCAGAATCTTACTTCCCTAACTTTACCCAGGTACTTTACAAGGCCATGCACACATAACCTACATTTCTAAATGAAAGTTTATAAAAATACTGATCATTTCAACACGGGTTTGCAGAGAGCTGTGCAAAGCAAACGTGCACTGCACCTGAGCTTGCAGCTGAGCTCAGACGTACACGCCACCTTTTTATACAATCTCTAGTGTACTCTGTACAGGAATGGCTCCACCTGACAACTCCAAAGCCTGCGTGGTCTCAAAGAGCAGGGACAGGCCAAACACACCGGAAGAAGTTTGAAAGCTGAATCTTTATGCTTGATGGCAATGGTACAAGTGGGAACAATGTCGATTGTTTTCACCTATGCGAGACTCTGGGCTGTACGAATGGGAACATTTTCATTCTAATAAAACAATAGCTGGCATACGTGACACATACTTTACACTTATGACACAGTTTAACTTCTGACTCTGTAGAGGGGGAAAAAAGAAAAAGGTACCAAGCACTGGAGTTTCCAAACTAGACATCTGATCTCTTTGAACACTTTGCATCATTTCATCAATGGAAAGCCAACAACTTAAAGTTGTAAGTGGCATGAATTGCTGAGAGGTTTGAAATTGTCTTTGGCATTGGTACAGCACGAGAGAAATGCTCATGCAAGCAGAACAGATGATAGCAGTCACATGCTGGAGGCAGAATTATAAAACATTTATTCTTAAAAAACCCCAAAAGCTCATCACCCAACCCTCGAGGACAAAGATGCAGGATGACACAAACAATACACAGCTGTTTGCGATATGACTAGTTATTTTTTTGTCAACTTGTAAAGCTCAAAATTCTAGCCTTGGGTTGTTCCCTTGGTGAGAGGCAAAATAGCCTGGCTTGAGTCCCTTATTGTGATGAATCTTCTCTGAAACTGTCACTAAGTGTTTAACCTTCCTAGATAGCACCAGGAGTTCTGGGAGGCTATTCTGGGAGGCTGAAGCAGTCGACCCCACGCCTCAAGACTGCCTCCATCTGGAAGGAAAGAAGAGTGGTTGTCGTAGGCGACTCCCTTTTGACTGGGATGGAGGGCCTGATATGTCAGCCTGACCCCACCTGTGGGGAATTGTGCTGCCTCCCTAGGGCACAGGTCAGGGACATCTCTAGAAAGCTTCCTGGGCTTATTCGCCCATCTGATTACTATCCCTTACTGGTAGTTCAGTCGGCAGTGATGCTGCCGCTGAGGGAAGCCTGAGGGCTATCAAAAATGACTTCAAGGGACTGGGAGGGTACTTGATGGAGTGGGCATGCAGATGGTTTTCTTTTCTATCCCTTCAGTGGTGGGGAAGGACACTGAGAGGATCAAAAAAACCCTCCTCATCGATAAATGGCTCAGAGGTTGGTGCAAACACAAGAATTTTGGTTTTTTTGACCATGGGGCAATTTACTCGGCACCTGGCATGATGGCTGCAGATGGAGCTCACCTGTCTGCAAGGGGTAAAAGGATCCCAGCCCAGGAACTGGCGGGACTCATTGAAAGGTATTTAAACTGGGTAAGAAGGGGGAAGGGGACAAAATGAGGGCCACTGGGGTTGAGCAGGTAGTTTGAGGCTCAAAACAGAGCTTGATGGGTGATGAGGGTGGAGTTCAAAGGGATGGAGAATGGCAGGGGGATGCTGCTTCCCTAAAGTGTCTGTACACTAATGCATGCAGTATGGGAAATAAACAGGAAGAGTTGGAGATCTGTGTGCGGTCACATGGCTATGATCTCATTGCGATCACAGAGACGTGGTGGGACAGCTCGCATGACTGGAATGTTGTCATGGAGGGCTATGTGCTTTTTAGGAAGATCTGCTGGCAAGGCAGGGTGGTGGAGTTGCACTTTATGTGAGAGAGCAGCTAAAATGTATTGAACTCCACCTGGGGGAGAGTGGTGTAGCAGTGGAGAGCTTGTGGATGAGAATCAAGGAGCAGGCTGGTATGGGTGACACTGTTGTGGGAGTGCTACAGGCCCCCTGATCAGGAGGAGGAGGTTGATGAGGCCTTTCACAAGCAACTGGAAGCAGCGTCACGATCCCAGGCGCTGGTGCTTATGGGGGACTTCAATTATCCAGATATTTGCTGGATGAGCAACATGGCCAGGGGCGCGTGGTCCAGACGATTCCTGCAATGTGTTGAAGACAACTTCCTGATGCAGGTGGAGAAGGAACCGATGAGGAGAGGGGTACTGCTGAACCTTATTCTCACTAATAAGGAAGGGCTTGTCAAGGAAGTAAACGTTGGGGGCAGCTTGGGTTGTAGTGACCACAAGATGGTGGAGTTCAAGATCTTGAGTGGAAGAAGCAAAGCAAAAAGTAGGATTGCTATCCTGGACTTCAGGAGAGCCAAATTTGATCTCTTCCGGGACCTACTTGGAGCTACCCTGTGGGCTTGGGTGTTAGAAGATAAGGGGGCCTGTGAGAGCTGTTCAGCATTTAAACAGCTCTTCTTCCAAGCTCAGGATCAGTGCATCCCTGTGAGCAAGAAATCAGGAAAGGGTGACAGGAGACCTGTGTGGATGAATAAGGAGCTCGTGCACAAACTCAAAGGAAAGAAGGCCCATGAAATGTAGAAGAAGAGTCTGACCACTTGGGAAGAATACAGAAATGTCAGGGCCTGCAGGGATGTGACAAGGAAGGCTAAAGCCCGCCTGGAACTGAATCTGGCAAAGGTGAAAAAGGATAATAAAAAAAGGTTTTTTAAGTATGTTAACAGTAAAAGGAAGACTAGAGAGAATGCTGCTCCCCTACTAAGTGAGGGAGGTGTTCTGGTAACAGGGAATACTGAGAAGGCAGAGATACTGAATGCCTTCTTTGCTTCTGTCCTCAGTGAAAAAGCTCTCCCTCAGGAATCCCGAACCCTGGAGGTTAGTGAGAAGGTCTGGGGAATGGAAGACTTCCCTTTAGTCAGGGAAGAGGCAATCCATAAGCGCCTAGGCAACATCAATGTTCACAAATCCATGGGACCTGATGGATGCATGCATGGGTGCTGAGGGAACTGGCAGAGGTGATTGCTGAACCGCTGTCATCTTTGAGAGGTCTTGGAGAATGGGGGAGATGCCTGAAGACTGGAGGATAGCTAATGTCACTCCGGTCTTCAAAAAGGGCAAGAAGGAAGATCCAGGTAATTACAGGCCAGTCAGCCTCACCTCTGTCCCTGGAAAGGTGATGGAACAGCTTGTGCTGGATGTCATCTCCAGACAACTGGAAGAAAAGGAGGTTATCAGGAGTAGTCAGCATGGGTTCACCAGGGGGAGGTCATGCTTGACCAACCTGGTAGCCTTCTATGATGTTGTCTCTGGCTGGGTGGATAGGGGGAGAGCAGTGAATGTAGTCTACCTTGATTTCAGCAAGGCTTTTGATACTGTCTCCCACGACATCCTTATAACAAAGCTGAAGAAGTGTGGGATAGATGAGTGGACAGTGAGGTGGGTTGAGAACTGGCTGACTGGCAGAGCACAGAGGGTTGTTGTTGGTGGTGCAGAGTCTGGCTGGAGGCCTGTAACCAGCGGTGTTCCTCAGGGGTCAGTGCTGGGTATGGACTTGTTCAACATCCTCATCAATGACCCTGATGAGGGGATAGTGCAGCGAGACCTGGACAGGCTGGAGAGCTGGGCAGTAAGAAACCAGATGAGGTTCAACAAAAGCAAGTGTAGAGTCTTGCATCTAGGGAGCAATAATTGCATGCACCAATACAGGTGGGGGATGACCTGCTGGAGAGGAGCTCTGCAGGGAGGGACCTGGGTGTCCTGGTGGACGACAGGTTGGCCATGAGCCAGCAGTGTGCCCTTGTGGCCAAAAAGGCCAATGATATTCTGGGGTGTATTAAAAAGAGCGTGGCCAGCAGGTCGAGAGAGGTGATCCTCTCCTCTACTCTGCCCTGGTAAGACCTCATCTGGAGTACTGCGTCCAGTTCTGGGCTCCCCAGTACAAAAAAGACAGGGATCTCTTGGAAAGAGTCCAGTGGAGGGCCACAAAGATGATGAAGGGCCTGGAGCATCTCTCCTATGAAGAAAGGCTAAGGAACTGAGTCAGTTGAGCCTTGAGAAAAGAAGACTGAGAGGGGACCTGATCCAGGTCTATAAGTATCTGAGGTGTGGGGGGCAGAATGGCGAGGCCGGACTCTTTTCAGTGGTGAGTGGAGACAGGACAAGGGGAAACGGCTGGAAACTGCAGCATAGGAAGTTCTGCACAAATGTGCACAAGAACTTCTTTACAGTGAGGTGACGGAGCACTGGAACAGGCTGCCCAGGGAGGTGGTGGAGTCTCCTTCTCTGGAGATGTTCAAGACCTGCCTGGACGCCTACCTGTGCTACCTGGTGTAGGGAACCTGCTTTGGCAGGGGGTTGGACTCGATGATCTCTGGAGGTCCCTTCCAACCCCTACAATTCTGTGATTCTGTGACTCCTGCTTTGACTGAGGTTTCACAACTGATGGGTTTGTGGAAGAAGGTTGGACGAGGGGAGGGAAAACAAGCTTCACCAGAAGTACTGGTCGTGTTTTGCACATGCACTGAATCTGCTGCAGTAGAATAAGGTTAAGGTGTTCTGGTTAAGAGTTTCACTCTCTCAAAATACAGTAACAACTATCAATTTTGACACATTTTTTTCCTACTTACAATGATACTGTGTTACAACTTTCTCCAAGTCACACAGCTAAGAGGACTGCCTCCAGAAACATCAAAACCTATCTAATGAACGGTTTATTCTTCCTCTGAACCTTAATTTATAAGAAGATCTTACTCCCTTCAGCTTGGTATACTTCTCTCTCTTAACCTCCATGTCCTCCTCAGTTAATAAGACCCTCTTGTCACTTGGGAAATAAATTGTCCTGGAGTTAAATTACAAAGGGCAAGTATACACAAGTTGCCAAGCTACAGGTGCAGTGCTTGAATTCTGCTTGCTTTTCAATCCATGGAGGTACTTCTCTGCCCCCTGCCATTACCTTCTGCTTGTTTGCACAAATTTATACAAATCTACTGTTTATGCCTCACTTTCAAGTGCAGCTGCAAATGGCCTGCGAGCTTAGAAGGTGGTGGCAGGTAATAATTAGGATGATGCTGTATGTTGCATGAATGTTATATGTTACAGAATCACACTGCAGAACCACTGACAGGTCATCTTTGCAAGGAAGCAGCAATGGCTCAAGCTAAGCTCCTGGTGTCCAGGAACCCAACATGCTGCTTTTCCTGCCTTGAGTGGCCTCCTAGGGATGAGGTCTAAGTCATTGCTGGTTCCCACAGATACTTTGGGAGAGGTACATGAAATGGGCAAATAGTATCTATGTATCTAATAAGAGATGGGGAACAGGGCTGATGAGAATGTATAAACCTGTATGTTAGATGTAATGATTATCGGAGGATACAAATATAATAAAGTATGTGGAACCCACATAAATGTTACAGACTGAGGGATAGAAGTGGTGGGTCTGGCTGGCACGGAGTTCACTTTCCCCACAGCAGCCCATACAGTTCTATGTTCCACATCTGTAGCTACAATAGCACTGATATCACACCAGAGTTTCGTCTATATCTGAGCACATATACAATAAACCATATGATCTAGTGGGTGGCAGCCCTACCCACTGCATTGCAACTAGATGATCATTAAGGTTCCTTTCAACCCAAGCCCTTCTATGATTCCATGACGATAATTTTTTTTTTTACCACTATGAGATTTTGGTTTCAAATCACATTACTTAAATAACTGTCCTGTTTGTTGGAGCAAAAGAAAGTAAACATTGGAAATTTCACAAAGGCAGGAATGGCTGCTTATAGTCTCATCTCAGTTTATATGAATTGGTTGCATGTGGTCTGTTTTGGACCAGAAAACATCCTGTGCATTTTCTTTGCAAAAAAGAAAAAACACAAACAGCCATTTCCTTCAATGAAATTTTTTTCAGCTATAAAACTAATGAATACACTGAAAAGAATATGAAATAACACAAAGAAAAGTATAAACATTACCATTTTGCAGGTGGAAGTGATTGCATGTTGGTTACTCCTCCATCTACCGGTACCACAACCTGTACATTAGACAGCATGCTGGGCACATTCATAGACTCTGGATTGTATTTATAATCCACTCTCACATCAGTAGTGTTAGCATTACATTTCCAGTAAGTTGCAAGATTCAAGGGAGTGGACTGGATGCCATTTGAAGATACCTTTAAAAAAATAAACCATTGAAAGCAGCTTAATTAAAGTCTCTCCCTTTCTGGGTAGAATTATGGAATGATTGTAATAGCTATAAATTCTGACAAAAGATCAAAAGAACAACTCACATCTGAGCCTTTAATCTCAGAATTCTGAAGACTGTCATAGCTGACAGTAATTCCCATTCTTCTAAATTTAAACTAAACTATTTTAAAAAACGAGTTAAACTCCTTCTGACCCATGAGACTTCTTCCTGCTTTGGCTTTCTTGGATCAAAATAGTTTTGTTTTAGTCTTGTACTCTACTTCACACAAGAAAGCTGCCTGTACCAAAATGAATTAATCCTTAGCAGTTATGTGGCATATCATTTCAGATGTCTCAGCAGCAAGCAGCAAAGGACACGTCATTGGACATATTGCCAGAACAGTTCTTACGTATTAAAAACATTATGTTGCTGGTGCAGGAGAGTTGGCAGCTGCTGCTTTTCAGCTCATGTTGCTGCCCTGCTACACACCCCTATTATCATCCTAATCTACTTGAGGAACTTTCCATTTCCCATTTTGTTTTGTTGGCACCTCAGGACTTGTTCCATCCACCATGGCTTTTTTATGCCTGTGTCTCATTTTACCCTAATGGTAAAGACCTTATGTAACTTTCCTTTTCCCACAGAGCTCATTTCTGTAATCCAAAGAAAAAATTATTTTCCTCCAACATTCCAAATCTTTGGATTTAGCATATTTTTTATAAATTCAGTCTGGCAGAATAATGGGAAGATATAGAAAGCTACAGTAGTATTAATAGCTGCACTGAATTATTTATTTATTTTTAGAACGTAAAGGCAGTTGGCTCAGAAATCCAATCATCTCAATGCAGGGGAAGGAAATCCTTGTTTTCTCTTTTAGATGAACGCACTGTTCCTTAATTTTTATGAAGATTTTTTGCTGACAGGCAGAACGTCTTCCCACAGAGTCACACTGTGGCTGAGGTTGGAAGGGACCTCTGGATATCACCTGGTTCAATCTCTCTGTCTCAAACAGGGCATCCTAGAGCCAGTAGTCCATGCCTAGACAGCTTTGAAGTATGTCAGGAAGGAAGTTTCCACAAACTCTCCAGGCAATCTGTGACACTGCTTGGTCATCCTTGCAGTAATAAATATGGTCAGGCAAAACTTCTCACTGGTACTTATTCAGTATCCCAGCCTTTTCCCTGTCCTGTCTCTGGGCACGAAAATTTTTACTGTCCTCAAGCACAGCTGAAGAGAGTCTGGCTCTGGTCAACTTGTGCCCTTCCTTCAGATACTTACAGACATTGGTAAGATTGCCCCTGAGGCTCCTCTTCCCCAGGTTCAACAGTCCCAGCTCTCTCAGCCTCTCCTCACAGGAAAGGTGCTTCAAACCCTTTCCTTTTCATAATCTGTGTGACCCTCTGCTGGACTCTTAAATGTCTGCAAGTCTCTCTCATACCAAGGAGTACAGGACTGGATTCCAGCTATAGTCGTATCAGTGCTGAGCAGAATGGAGGGTTCACTTCACTCAGCCTATTGGTAATGCTCCTCCTAACGCAGCCCTGGATACCACTGGCCTTCTTTTCCACAGGGATACAGCGCCAGCACTCCTGTTCAATACAGTGTCCACTGGGATTACCAGGTCTTTTCTGACAAGCTGCTTTCCAGCTGGCTGTTCCTCCTCAGATGCAGGGTTTTGCACTTCTTTCTGTTGAAGTTAATGATGCTCCTGGCAGCCCTTTTCTTCAAATTAAGTCTCTCTGAACGGCAGCATGATCACTTAGCATATCAGCCACTTCTCCCAGTTTTGTGTCATATGTAAACTTGCTGATGGTGAACTCCTCTCCACCATACAAATCCTTAATGAAGATCCGGATGCTTTCCTGTGCAACCTACTGTGGCCTGCTTTAGCAAAGGGTTGGACTAGATGATCTCCAGAGGTCCCGTCCAACTGCTTCAATACTGTGAACCAGGGCATGATCCACTACTGACCACTGAGGTACACCACTACTCACAGGCCTCCAGCTAGAATTTGCACTACAGATCAACTCCTTCCGTGCACAGCTATTCAGCCATTTAATCTACCTCACTGTTTGCTTACCCAGCTGATAATTCCACTGCTCCCCCGTGATGATCTTATGGAAGACAGTGTCACAAACCTTACTGAAGTCTAGGCGGACAACATCCACTTCTCTCTCCTCATCTACTAAGCCAGCTGTTTCATCACAGAAAGTTATCAAGTTAGTCTGATAACTACTCCTGATCTCTCTGGCCTTTATGTGCTTCAAAGTGGTTTTCAGGATAAGCTGTTTCATTTTATCGTGAGGAGAGGGAACATCATATAATCTTATGTATTACATCTGATCAATGACAGCATCCCAAAACTATGCAATTACAAAAGCACACACAACTGAATTACAAACTCAAACAAAAACCTGTAGATGCATAAATTCAAGGAAAACTTGGCTTTGCTAACAAACACCTAAAAGTAGCACTATTCAGCATCTTCATACTTGAACTGTACAGGAGTTTGAACAAGATGAAACAGGTCATAAATGCATGGGAATGACATAAGGCATAACAGGAACATACTCAGCTAGAGTAAGGCCTATGCATTGGAGACACTGATGTATTCAGAACTGATCTAGATGACAATTGCAGGATGCAGGATGACAGTTCATCTGCATGCTATCAGGCAAAGAACAGTTCTCATTTCTGAACACATATGGAATCAGACAGCATTTCTTACAAAATTCCAAAAGGAAAAAAATGTTTACCTGATACTTTAAAACATCCACATTATAATAGGATGCAGATGGGTTCTGCTCTGATAATTTCTTGAGGTAGAGAGTTATAGCTTGCATGTTCATCCAAAAATCCCTCGTAGTGGAGTCACTTTGCGACTGATCACTACAAAGAAAAAGAAAGGTAGGAATCAGCACTGAAAGCTATTACTTCTAAAAATGTCTAAAACTTAAAAATAGATCTTTCATTCACTGTTTAACGCAACTGTTTGTTCTAATGCTTTATATCACATAGTTGTGCTTTTCTTAATATTAAGGGAAATTAACTGCTTTTCTTGTCTGGTTAAAATTCTCCTTCCAGTCATGGAGCAATGAGTTTTCTCCACTGATGACTGACAGCACAAGGTGCAGAGAGGTTCAGATTCAGACAGGTTCAGATTTTATGTTTATTAAAATCCACTCTCAATATTATCTGGTGCTGTGAGAATGTGCATGATGAGGTCATGTAAAAGGGGTCTTCCAGAAGAATTATTATCTAATCTGGAATAAGACCTAGAAAATGTAATTCATTTTGGATACAACATCACTAAGACTTGTGCTGTATGTGTTACCATATTTTCATACATGTAGAAAATGTAAGCTCCATAAATTTTTTACTTCGAAAACAGTCCCCAAATTGTTATAAACTATTGTCTTTCAGGTCTTTCAGGTACTTACTGTTAAATTCAATGTAAGTAGTCTTTTTATTTATTGTTATTTTTTTTTTCCCAGTACCTTTGCACATCAAGAATAACTTGAGCACTGGTTGCAGCAGGTGTATTTTGAAAAGATAACAATGAAGATTCTATTCAATTCAGAAACAAAATTCAAATCATATATCAATTAAAAGGCTGCGCTGGATATTGGTGGATATAGTGAGAAACTGCCGTCACTGCTAAGGAGATCAGCCGAATGCACATGCAGACTGAAGCTGACAATGAACACTTGGAACACAGAGAATATAATGGCTTGATACTGGGACAGTGTCTTACACACCACTAGCCTCTTTGATTTGCTTTGATTTTGGCTCTCAGTACAGTATTGTGATTCCTGCTACTTCAATCTTTACTAAAATATAGATCAACACTTGCTTATCCCTACAGGGACCTTAGATGACGTTAGGTGCAATCCAAAACAACTTCTGGTGTTTCCGCTCACTCCCATATCTCTCATATATCTCATATCACTCTCATAAAAATCTGCCATTTTTATAAATACTGAGCAAATGATAGCCTAAGAGGATATGATGAAAACTCGTATTGCTCCACATGGCTTAAACTTCCTAAGAGTCCTTTACATGCATTATTTCTAATCAGAAGTGAAGTGCTACAGCACACAGATAAAATACTAGACATTTTCCTATTATTTTCAAAATATACTTTTTCAGTACAATTCACTCTGTATGCTGAAATGTAACTGTGAGTGATCAAAATGAAATTAAATACAAAAGAAGTGATGCATACAGCTTAATTCTTTCAGCTATTTCAGTAATGTAAAAAAATGTACTACCAATAAATGTTTAACTGCTTTTCAATAATTTCTCTACTCAGTGAAACAGAAACTGCTCAGCTGTAAGAAATCCCTGCTAAATAAATACAGTTTTTACAATTGCCCTGAATTTTGGAAAAGAAATCACAATGCTACGATTTCAACAATTATTCTGCTCATTCAGGAGCATATTTTTCTTAAGAACTCTACAAAGCACATTGCTGTACACTTGAAATACATAAGTATGTAATTATTTTGGTCTACTGTAAAAATGATACAGCTTAAGAAATAAACTTGTAACTGACAACTGAGATTAGGCATAGCTCCGACTATTTAACTACTGTTTCATCACCCAAAGACATTGTTGTCACTGTATACAGAAATCCATATATCCTAGTTTGACATTTTTTCTTCATATCTGTAATTAGTTCATGTAGTTTGACTAGAAAAAAAGCTTTTTTAAAAATTGTTTATGAAATCACTTCATCTATAAAACGTGTAAAAACACAGCTACATTTGCAAACTATTTTTTATGGTTCCTGTTATACCCAGTGTAAGTTTCAGGATCAGTGAATTATTGAGAATTCTAGTGGTGGCCGCAGAGAAAAAATTAGGTAAACAAGATTAATTAGTGAGATTGAATCAAGTATAAACAAATGAACAAGACTGTAGAGAACTCTGACACGTATACAACAATTTGCATTTTAGAAATCATGTAATTTACTACTGTATAAAAAAAATAATACAAAACCTGTATACAAGTTGTGCATTTGGAAGAATCTGCTCTAGTTTGCTTGTGTTTTTTACCCTGAAGCAGAGCACAGCTGGAGATGGGTTGCTGGTGAAGACTTTAATAATCCCACTTGGGAATGATACTGTCATATCACCAGTGATCTTCACAATACATCTAGGAGAATAAAAACATTGTTTTTATTGCAACTCATTAACTTCCTAATTTTAACGCTGACTGTAAAGCAATCACTATACTTTTGCAATCTGATAAGCTGAATTCATAACAGAAAATCAATTTTAAATGAGGATAATGTGGCACTGTAATTATCACATGTGACAATGTTATTATCACTTTCAAATTGAAAATCAGGTGAAGTAAGTGAAAACAAAAGTACAGCTGCTTAAGCATACAGTAGTCTCCGGATATTTTTCAGGCTTTGAAAACATGGCACAGCTATGCTTAGGCAAGGCCTACGTAGCATAGAAAGGGATGTGACAGGGTGAATGAGGTGCTTTTACAGCTGCCCAAAATTACACACAAAAGTACACGACTGTGACAAAAACCCTTCTCATTTTCAGTATTCTCACTGAACACATTTTTGTAAAGCAGATATATATGAACTCCAAGCAAGACAATAGAGAGCAATGAGCCACTGCTGTTACTTACACTACGGGAAAAAGCCTGGTGAAACCCCTTACCAATGCATATATATTTTCCCCAATACATTATAAATACGAAACAGTGTGTTTTCTCATTGTAACTTATTACATTCAAAACAATTTACTATTTAACTAACTTTGTGGGATCTGCTCCTTTAAAGTAGGCGTTAACAGATTCAGTAAGGGCTACAGCGACAGGCAGGGTGTCCTGGTTTCCAAGGCTGACAGGGCTGGGACCACGTGAAACACCTAGAATACATACAGTGTATAGATTTAACTTGTAAAAGCTTAGCAATAGATTTCAGAACGGTTGACATCTGTCATTTTCACAAGACATTACTACCATCAAGATCACAGTAGAGCCTGAAGTAGTACTTGAACGCTATTAGGACAAAACATTGTACAGTACAATCACACCACCAAAACACTGCTTAGCAGCCTAAGAAAACAGGACTACTGGTATGACATATCGCCAATGGACAGACATACAGAAATATACATGAGACACAGAAAATGCTGCACTAAAATGGCTAAGAATGACACCAAAGTCAGCAGATCCAAAAGACATTAGACATTAGCTACAATACGTTAAAAAACAAAACCTACTGTATGCTTGCTGCATGGAAAAATGTATGATAAAGTGGTCAGGGAAATGCAAAGAATTCAGCTACAGTTTTTATGAACTTACATACAAACACATTAATATTACCCCATAGTAGCGAATTGTTGAATATCCTTTTAACTATTTCAGCCAACAAAGGTTAGAATTTCTGTGCAGAAATTACTGTAAAAATATTTTGCTAAGTTTTCTAACATGTATAGGAATATCTTGGAAATACCTGGACACACACAGCAGTTCACAAGAAAAGTAATTATCAGGCTTGTATCAGCCTTCATAGGTTCCTGTGCATACACAATAGAGTTAAAATGTAGAGCTACAAAAAACAACTCAGACCTCATGCTGAGGCTTTTTTAAAACTGTGCAACCGACAAAACTGATTGTCATGGGATTTTACTTTCTCCTGGTGTTTTCCATGTGGAGCCAGCTACTTAGTATAACCTGTAAAACTAGAAGTTTCATCTTTTTTACTAGCACAGCAGCATACCAGAGAGCATCTTAATCATTTTTCATATCACTGGACAGGTTTATATCACATAATGTATTTATCAAAAGGAAGATAAGGTTTTTTGCCATGTCATGAACAAAATGAGAAATTAACTTTGTATCATAAAGTAGAAACAAAATCCTGTGTAACATTGCCAATGGCATACTAAGCCTACAAACTCTACCTTAGCATCTGTGCCTTCTGAGCTCTTCCATAAACAGAAAGGAAGTCAGAACCTTGCTCCTCAAGGAAGGTCTATTATGAGATTGTGCATGTAAATTCAGAGATAAGTGAAAGAGCCAACAACTGGAAAGTGAAACAAATGGATAGGAAAAGATAGGAGAGTTGGTCTGATTTTGATACTTTCGTAACTTGCTCTCCATAAAGATTTGTTCCCTAAGGTATTCAAATGTTCAGAATACTTCCTAGCACTACGAAAAAGTGTTAGAGCAGCTTCAGGACTGCTTAGATGCAAAGCATTGCTCTGGCCACAAGTGTTCAAAACAAAAATTTCTTCAGTGAATGAATTAATATGATGCTGGCTCTTTTTTTTTTTTTTAATAATAATAATTTGAATGAACAGTAAGTAACTTTTACTGTTCTTTCAGAGCACACATGGGTGAAGTTTCCAGTGTTTACGTCTCTTCCTGAAATTTAGCAAAAAACACTCTGTGATTCTCAGTAGTCTTAGGAATCCAAAAGTGATGACTTCAAAAAAATTTTAACAACCAGATTCATTCTATTCAAGAAATTGTTTGATGAATCACTAAGCTCCAGAAGTATTCTCCATCCAAGCCAAAATATGCATTTGATGGAAAACAAACAATTGCAGTATATTATTTATTTGTTTATTAATTATCAGACTATTCACAGATTTATCCATTCTATATAAAACTTACAATAGCCTTGTAAATAAATATAAACCTTTATATTGATATTTGAAAATTATGTAATATGAATACTTAAATTATTTTTCTATCAGTAAAAGAAAAATATTCATTTATTGACAGAATAGGGACACTTGTTAGGAACATTAAGTTTATTTTTACATTTTGCTGTTAACACTAAAGCAAACGTATACATTTATGCATCTCTCTGAGATGTATCTGAATGACTACTTAATTGTGCAGCCCTTACTCTTCAAGATCACTTATTATTAATGATAATCTAAGCACTTTGCTAAAAACCAATAAACTGAAGGATATATACCTGGCTAACTGAACAACAGATATAATTGTTTTGTTGCCTTGCAGCTCAAAAAATACGTCTAAAAATCTAATGCAGCAATATCCTGCTTCAGTGCTTCAAGTTAGTTGCAACCTCTCAGAGGGATAGGATGCCACAAAATTGTGCCATCCTGGATTGCAGCTCAAGCATTTAGGAGTAGCTGAGGACTAGCTCAGCTTGTCTTGATGCCTTGCTATCTGCCTCAACCTGACCAACAATAACAGCCTCTCAGCTATGTTGACATGTAGTGGCACTGACATGGACAAGAAGGATGGCAAGCTGCAGAAAAAAAGACTGCATCACTGGTCACAGATAGGACAGTATTTCATCAAGTGGTTTCAGATCACCTTAGGCACAAAGAGTTGGATAATTTTAATACTGACTAAACTTTTTTTTATTTAGAAAAAAAAAAGTATACCCTAATTTATTTGTATCTTCATAGCTTTGTATTATATGAAAAAATATAAAAAAATTACCTGACTTATCTGAAGAGAATGAGGATTATCAGTTAAAACATATTCTATCTTGAATGAAAGTTGTAATGCAAAATTGAAGGCAAGAGACCAGGTTTTGACTTGTTTTGGAAGGATAGATAAAAGATCATAACATATTAAAGTAGTTATACCAAGTTTTGGTGATTTTGAATATATAAGCAGTTGAGCTTTCAAGCTACTTGCATCTGCCAGACACCAAAAATGGCTGGAGAAAATTTTTTTTGAAAGAAATGCAATTTTATTAGCTGCACTGTATTAGGATGATTAGTTAACATGTAAATCTGCATCTAATACAATACCTGGTGGTGTGTCACAAAGCTTTTCTATTGTAGGGAGTGTTCCAATCAAAAGATCATCCTCTATTATGTTTAAATGAAACGAAACATTGCAAGAAAACAAAATATTTCAAGCAAAAGTAGATGTTAATTCACATACATAAATTCTCTGCATATGAATATAATTCTGACACATAAAAGAAATATACCTACAAGTTCACATTGACCTCTGCATTATTCAGAATAGAGTATGGCAAACATTGGACTGTGCAAAAGCTGAAAGAATATAGACAGTAGTGTAGAGCATCCTCATGCCCCAACATCATTCAGCATTCTGCACCCACCTCTCTCCAGGACTATTTAATTCCAACACACTAAGAAAACAGAACTGAGCCCATTTATTTTTGCTAGACCAAGTCAATAACCATGCCAAATCCCTGTGGCAGCACACACTTCCTTACCATTTTCCTCATACACTCATGCATATGCAGAGAACTGGAGCTATTGAGGCTGCTGCCACGAGCTGCTAAGGCCTGAGGAAGCGAGTATGGATGGACTTTGACCACATCAGTTATAATGCCAATTAAAGCATAAAATATTTTATAAATAAAAAAAAACCTGATAAAATAACAGTTATCTTTCTGTGATGGTTCTCAGCATTTGGTAATTAGTAAACATTGAACTGTGCTGCTACCACAGCATCTGATGCTTACTAGCTTAGGTTTTGCAGAAGGAAAAAACTGTTGTACTTCCTCACAGGTGTAATACTCCCTAGGAAGCTGTGTGGATGCTCTCCAGAGATGCTGAGCCTGTCTGAGAAATCCTTGGTATCAGTAACATTCACAGATAACTACTGACTGAAGATCTGACTTGGGATTGAAGTGTAATACCATTCAGGAATGAAATATTACAATTTTGCTAAAGAAGCAAATTAAAATGTACTTAAAACAACAACAAAAAAAGCAAACAAAACACTTCTGAAATCTCCTTACTGTTTGTTATAACCAAATATAAAAACTCAAGGACTTTTCCCTACAAACATGAGAAAATCTTCTGAAATTTGTGACAATCTGTAAAGACGTATCTGCTTTTCATCTTCACTGTTTTTGGCTATTTTTCACATTTTTATCAACAAGCTCTGGTTAGGTAATATGCTTAAATAATTTGAAAAGATGCATGTTTTTGTGTTTTTTCTTGGAAACTACAATTATAACAATAAAAAGCAAATACAAAGAGCATATACATTCTGTTTTGAACATCCGTATTCATTCAAGTTTATAAGCATCCTTAAATATTTCTGCATTTAGAATGAATTTTGAACAAGTACACGATAACATGCTGTGCTTGGTGAACACATACACAGAAACACAAAACACAAAGTTATACAGCATTTCAGTTTTGAGAAATCTTTCAGTAAAGAACAAGTCAAAATCAGATCAGTGATCTACTCTATTCAAATGAACTGTTCTGATAGGACAGAACACTGTCCTGCCAATTACAGGTAGGTATTTCAAAGGATACTTGAGGTACCCAGACTAGACTTACACATGGAACGTCTAAATGCAAGGAATGGTTTTCATAAGAAGCAAAACCTAGTGGCAGAATTAGGCCACCACTAGCAAGTGAATATGGTAAATAAGTTAACATGGATAATGTAACTTACCAACTGTAGGTGTATTTGCTGCACTAAGGGAAGCAGAGGAGGATATTGAGGAGATGCTCTCTGCACGTGCCAAGGGAGCTGCAGGTGGTGGACTTGAATTAGAGGTCAGTGGAGGGCTGAATGGCCTAGGCTGAACAAAGATTACAAGAGTATCAACAGGCAGAAAGTCTGTTAATTTAAAAATTAATTTTACAAACATGAAAAGTACTGTAAATAGAAGAGATCTTCATTTCATTTCACAATAAATGTCTAAGTGTTTCTTAGATCTTTTACTGTGTTGTATATCCCACTTTCCAGCATAAGACAGAGAAGACAAATTTTCCCTGGAGACCATAGAATCATAGAATGATTTGGGTTGGAAGAGACCTTTAAGATCATCTAGTACCAGCACCCCTGCTATAGGCAGAGACACCTCTCTCTAGACCAGGTTGCTCAAAGCCCCATCCAGCCTGGCCTTGAATGCTTCCAGGGAGGGGACATCCACAGCCTCACTGGGCAACCTGTTCCAGTGTCTCACCACCCTCATAGTAAGAGTTCCTTCCTGATATCTAGACTAAATCTACCCTCTTCCAGTTTAAAGCCATTTCCCCTCATCCTGTCACTACATGCCCTCACAAAAAGGCTCTCCTCAATTTTTCTGTGGGCCCCCTTCAGTTACTGGAAGGCCACTATAAGGTCCCCCCCATAGCCTTTCCTTCTTTAAGCAGAAGAGTACCATCTCTCTCAGCCTGTCCCCACAGGCTTGCTAGGCCACGTAACATCTTGCTAATTCGAAACACAGGAAGGGAGAGGACCTTACCACAGTAAAATTTTTTTCAAGTAAGTCAAATGGGACCCAAAGAATCGTAATATTCATAGAAGAGATCAAGCATGGTTTGGTTTGATATGCTGCCTGAGTATGTGCATTCTTTGCCACATTCACAGTAGGTGAACTTGCACTGCAGGCAAGGAGCAAAGACGGCATCTCTCTATGTTGATGAGCAGCTGCTGCAATCCACTATCTCCTTTCACCAATCACCTCCACCAAGGGCAGAGTGAATCACAGCACGTCTACTTGTATCAAAGCATGACTGATAATGACCCACTTAGTACCACTAACTCCCCAAAGTTTAGGCGATATTCCTACATCAATGAAGCTTTGCTAATAATTTTGCTAGAATTTAGCATTGTGAATAACTTAATCCTCCTCCCCCCCCCCCGCTATCCATGCATTTTCAAACTATTTATTTATTCAACTAAGAACAATCCAAGATCAATTAAGAATTATTTTTGTTACAGTAACACACTTATTGCAAACAATGCCCATACCTATCTGGCAGTGGTGAAAATCTGAGTATGTGATTTCTTGAGCCCTGACTGGAAAATAACTCCATTGTAACAATACAAACAAGTGGTATATCTGAAATTTATTTGTAAACAAGAATTTTTTAAAAAATCAATACATACTATTTCATTAATTCCACTAAGTTTCCCTGTAGACAATTTTGTTCTTGAAGCAGGCCTTGGAGGGGGTACAATGGTGCCTACAGTAAGAGGAGTTGTGGGTCTTGCTGAAAGAAAGCAAACATAACAAAATCAAAATTAGAAATGTCACAGTGAACACAAATAGGTAGTCAGTCAAATAAAACCAAGTGAATAAAACCAAACTGAATGTTTCTATTAAAAGTTCCTGTTTTACAGTTCTATTTTGTAAGATTCACCACAAATCAAAAAGTATTTTAAAAAGAGCCACGAGACACTCTGAAAAGTGACTCTAAAAATGGCATCACGGTATTTCTCAATGCTCTCAAATGATTTTCTATCAACTAATCTCAGAGCTTTGTATGCAAAAGAAGGTTTTACCTGAGTTTATTTTTGTGCATATTCTATATAGAATATAGGACAATCTTTCATGTCTTACCATAATGAAAAATTCAGTGGAAATTCACATTTGGTCCTGGCTGATAATATAGCATAACAGTTAATATCAAATCACGCCTTCTGAAATTCCACTGATTTCAGTAAGTAAATGCCAGTTTAACACAAAAAACTCAGCAAATTATTCTGTTGACTGCAAGAACACAGTAGCTCCTTATTATCTCTTTTAGCCAACCTGTCAGATCTTAAAAGCAGTACAAAACACTGCTCCCATGTCCATCTAAATCTAGTAGACACAACCAACAGATGATGGCAGCAGTATAAAGATGCCACTTTTACACAGTCACTTTTCTGAAGAGAACTGTATTTGAAAATAAATGTTAAATGCCATCACTTCAAAATAGAAACCCAAATATATAGCTATAGTTGCTGCGTATCTTATAAGCTCCCTCAAAAAAAAGGCAAGGTGCTGTGTTTTGATTGGAGCTATCCCAGATGTGTACAGACTGGGAGAACTCCGTGAAAGCAGTCGTGCAGAGGACCTGGGGGTCCTGATGGACCAACAGCTAGGTATGAGCCAGCAGTGTGTGCTTGCAGCCTGGAACTCCAACAGTATCTGGGCTGCATCAGAAGAGGACTGGCCAGCAGAGAGAGGGAGATCACTGTTCCTCTCTGCACTGCCCTCATTAGGCCTCATCTGGAGTAGTGCATCTGATCCTGGGGCCCCCTGCACAAGAATGATGTGGAGCTGTTGGAAAGGTTCACCTCTTCTCTGAAGACAGACTAAGAGAGCTGGGCTTGTTCAGCCTGGAGAAAAGAAGGCTCTGGGGAGACCCCACTATGGCCTTCCAATACGTGAAATGAACTTTTTACATGGGTAGATCGCGGTAGGACAAAGGGAAAAGCGTTTAAAATGAAAGAGGGGAGATTTAGATTAGATGTCAGGGGACGTGTTTCACTGAGAAGGTGGTGAGGCACCGGCACGGACTGCTCAGAGAAGCTGTGGAGGAATTCGAGGACAGGCTGGATGGGGTCCTGAGCAGTCTGAGCTGGTGGGTAGCAAACACGTCTAAGGCAGAGGGTTGAAACTGGATGGTTTTTATGGTCTCTTTCCATCCAAACCATGCCATTATTCTGTGAAATTACCCTGGACAGTTCTTTTTTTTTGATTAAGTAAGGTAATATTAAGATTAATTTTATTAATGTTACGCAGTTTTTATTTTCTCAGGCATCCAACATAATTCTGCCCTCACTGAGGTAATGGAGTTCCATTGCTGACTTGGGAAGAAACGTGGCTAATACTGACTATAACCACCATATGCCCAGGCTACACAGTACATGTTAAACATCAGTAATCTGCTTCAGTATCACAGATATTCAGCAAACCATGCCCAATGCTTCTTGCTTTGCTCTTTCAGTATGTAGCATCATTCTAATATGATCCACTTTTTAAAATATTGGGTGTTAAAGAGAAACTGTTCTCAGTCAAATTTACTTAAACTTTATTTAATCTGATCTATAGAAAGCAGGTTCAGAATACATCTGTTTAAGAAAAGAACTGTTTATGCAAAATCAAGCATTTAATCTTTGAGACTTCATTGCTCTCTGACATTCCAGGAAAGTACATGTGTATTTCCAGAAAAGCTAAGCTGCGTATAGCTAAGAAAAAGCAGTGCCTTTATAGTTAAATAAATTGATTTTTCCTCTTACGTCAAGCTGAATATTTATTTCAGTGTCCTAAGTTTCAAAGAAATTGACACTAACAAGCAATTTAGTACATTCTAAGTTAAGAAGTTAATTTTAAGGTAAGCTAGAATAATGAAACAAAAAATCAGTCCAAAGCTTGCTTTTTGGAGTCAGTTATTAGCAAAGAGCAGTACACAATGCATGCTGGCCATACCCTTGTTTGAACGAACACAAGGAGACACTAAACTATAGTCCAGATGTGCTGAAGATGATGTGGAAGAAATTTCTGCAGCAGTGCCAGTTTCTTCAATGAATAATTGTTCATGGCATATAGTATTATTTGAAAGGTCACTCTGATCCTCAGAAGCACAGCAGTTGGAAGAATTCCCAAGCAAAGCAGAAGAGGCAAGGCAGGCATTTTCAGTTTTAAAATGTAATCTTTGTTGCTCCTTCTTGTCTGTGCTTGTTTCTCTACTTGTAAAAAGTTCATCAGCGAAGGAAATCCACTGACTCTGAGACCATGAAACAGAGGATAAAGTACTGATACTCCCTGATGGTACTTCTACACCAGATTTGCACAAAGTGCTAATTATGAAGTCTGGTGAGGATGGGCTTCCAGACCCAGAATCTGCCTGGAGTCCAAGCAAAGACCGAGATGTTCTACATCCAGGCAAGCTACTGGTAGATGAGGAATTCCTACTGTGCTCTCTTAGAGTAGCTGAAGGAAAAGGTAAGAATTGAAACAAGATGGAATACTGAAATGATAAAATATAAATCCAAACTTAAAAGGTGTATTCAATACCAATATCCTCTGCATTATTATTAGCCAGCATAAAAAATAATTGCTCTATTAGGCTAAAAATCACACCACTTACACACATAAGAAAAAAAAAAAAAAAAAACATTTATCACATTGGCTTTGTCCAAACTGTCAGACATGTCACTTTACATTCCTTACGCAAGCCAAGAAGTAATCTATGTTTTTTGTTTCCCCTTAAATCCTGAATTCTCGTGATTTTGTTAGTCTCTAACTTCTATATCATGTTAAATTTAACTTCCTCTTGTCCTTTTATTTTCCTTTTTGGTGTCCTAATCCATTTTTATTTCCTTTCAATAGATCTGTCCTTTCAACTTCTTTCAAAACAACTTACTCAAATCTACTCTTCTACTTTCCTTCCAAACATTTATGCTCTTACCCACATCTGTAGTGGAAAAGCCCAACATAAATAACTGTTCAGTGAATGAATGATGACAATAAAGTCATGAGATGCTACTTGCTTCTTATTTTTCTGATCCTATCAATCCCTTCTTTAGTAAGTCACAGAATGCATGAGGCACCATCCACCCCAATTTATTTTCTGTCATGCCAGAGTCTTCAACCTGCCAGAAAATGAGTTTTCCACAAGTTTTCCCTGCATTTGGCTGTTGCCTGTTGGAGTAGATGACAACAGAAGCTGCAAATGCAGTTAGTCAACTCTTTAATGTTTTGCATATTGGCAAAGCTAAGAGCAACAGCAGAGTGGCACAAAGAATTAAAGAGAGCAATAAATTTAAACGTACACATTAGTAGCATAGGTCTGTAAAGTTTTCTTTCTGTCATGAACAAGAACATGATCTAAGACCAGATAAACAGATACTTAACACAGCTTTCTCTTCCTGACATTTTTATGTATTTTATGTACTTAGGTTCTGAAAACATCATTCAAAGCCTTTGAAATGCAACTGTAAATCTCATACTAAAACTATGGGGAAATGTGCAGGATTATTTTTAAAAATGCCTGTTTATAAAAATGGGGAAGATAAATAAAAAAAGCATTTATAAAGTATCAGTAGATCACTAAAAATGTATGCTGGGTTTGTTCAAGATAATAAAACTAGCTTAAATTCTAATAAAACAGGATTATTCATGGATGACCAAAGTTTACTTCTATGCTGCATAAACCACAGCCTGCAAAAATACCAGAGTGGTTTAGGTGTTCAATGATTAACACAATTACAAAACAGTATTCTAAGAAATGCTTTAACAGGAAAAAGACAGAAATATCTATGGGACGTGATAGATCATACTTCGTATACAGAGCAAAAAATTTATTGTATATTTAAGCAATTTAAGTTTTGGATTGAAACTGTTAAAACCTTTCAACAGCAGTAGTATCTATATTAACATTCAAGTTGGAAATGAAACACTCATTTCTAAAGGTTTCAGAAGAGAATCAGATCAAAGTTGTGTACTTTTAAAAGCTGCAGGGTAATGAGCATCAGAAGCTAACTTAATTTAAACAACAATACAAAATACTGCAATTCAGTAAAAAAAAAAAAATTCCAAATATATTACTACTTTCATACATTTTGGAAAACTCTCTATTTAATTGCATGGGTCATTTAACTAATGTAAACAGCTTAGTTAATTCCTAGAACAATCCTTTTAATAATTATTTAGCAGAGAAACATTACAAAGGCAAAATATCTAGATATTCAGATATTTCTCATATCTGAAATTGACTTTCATATCTAAGATTGGCTTATGCCCACAAGGCGCTATATTCCACCAGTTTCAATAAAATGTAGGGATTTGCACATAAGCCACTTTTAGGAGGTGCAAAGCCATGTGCAGACTTCCCCTGAAGTCTGGCTACTGATCCCAATGATCTGTCACTGCTCATGAGCCAGAGGCTGTTCTCTCCACAGTTCTGCACACTGAGGAGGGACTGTATGAACTTTTTCTAATCTGCTTTATTCTCCTACCCATGAGTAGCAAAAAATAAACTAATCACAAACCAAGCTTCAGTTGGCAGATATGGCCCTCCAAGTCCCACATTTCAGGCAGCATGTAGGCCTCTGTCTAATACCAGGACAGAACATAACCTGTCCCACAGGATAGTTCTTGGCTGTCTTGAAAGCTATGCCACCAAGTGGAGGAGTTACAGGAGGAAATGAGCAGGCTGTGTAACATCAGAGGGAAAGGACAGAAGCTGGTGACTTCAGGCACTAAAAGGAAAGCTTCTGCCTCTCCTAAAGGCTTACAATTGAGGAGGTTCACTGCCCTCACAGCTGAAGACACGAGCCTACTTGCAGTCAATGTACTACTCCTTAACAATGCCAGCTGGAAGACTACCTGGAAAAAGAAGGTCATATAAAGGGTGACTCCCTGCCGTACAGGGAGTCAAAAAGGACAAAGGCATGCATCCATCAACTCAAGCTATCAACTAGGGAGGTTTGCTTCCTGCAGGGAGCCTAAATCTAGGATACTGTGGAAGGACTGCTAAAGCTGACCGCTGAACCCTGTAACTACTAATCCCTCCATTCTTCCATGTGAAGTATACATGATACCTCTAATTCATAGTATCAGCACTAACTACAGATTTCTGCTGGGAGCAGTAATCAATAGCATGGGGCTTAGGTTGTCTTCTATGCAATCTTGCTGGTGAGAGCATGAGAAGGGCACTAATAAAACAGGCCAGGAAATCACTGCAAAACTGGTGGCAATAACAGGGTTTGGGGTTCTGTGACCATTAATCCTTGTATATACATCAGCATCTGCTTGGGAAAGATTGAATACACCTCGATTTTAACGTTATTTTTACCACTAGCATAGCTGACTTCATAGGGATGGTGGGGTATGGAAAGAGTAACCAGTGGTCCTACAGGGAGCTGGTGATAGTTGTGGAGCAAACAGAAGAGGAAGAAATCACAAAATCAACAATATGGGGCTTAAGTGGAGTCACCTTCAGTGCTTGCATGCAAGCGAGGAAACATCTACAAAGCACTGTCATGGAGAGATTCCCCAAACCCCTTCTACAAACATTTCAAGCTGGGGCACCTCTATGAAGTGCCTGTACACCAAAGCACAAAGTATGGGGAATAAACACAAATTAGATATTTGTGTGCAGTTACAGGTCTATGATCTATGACCAAAGCAATAATATAGCTAAAAAAACAGATTATTTTGAGAAAACACAACTTTTTTTCAGCATAATTCACTCACATACATACAATTCACTTCCTCTCAGGTGGTGCAACAACTTTCCCCTCAGCCCCATGCAGCCTCAGTCCTGCCCTTTTCTCCCATTGCCCCCCAGTTCTGCCCACACATCTCATAACAGAATAATGAATTCATACAGAAAACAGACTCTTCACTGCAAAGCGTTATGGAGGCTTTGTACTAGATAGTTCAGCAGCCTCCTCTGTAAAGAAGAAATCCATTCCTGTTCAAAATGGATGCTCAGCTTGGTTCATAGTTGCTGCAATATCCTCCATTTATGTTTCAGCCCTATTAGCAAAAAAATTTGACTATGTTTTTCTTTCAGCACAGATAATCAATTTTGGAAAGGAAGAGAAGGAGAGAAAAAAACAAAAGCAAGATAGAATTTTCTAAAGGTTTCTTGTGTTCCTCCTTCCCGTTTGCTCCCCAGCTTAAAAGCTTGATATATCATACCTTCCGTATTATTCATAACATGGGATATCTTTCATTTTGGCAATTTAAACACATGCAATTACAAAAAAAATATCCACAGAATATCCCAAAGAATATGCAGAAAACACTTTCCTGCTATCAAATATCTCACCTGAGGAGGATGAGGAAGCCAAGGAGGCTGAAGAGGAAGATTCGAGCGAACTGCTAAACAGTGGATCCCATGCCAGAAGGTCACTGTTCCCCTTTCTATAGTAAGAGTTACAATTGGAATATAAATAAAAGGCACACATGACAGTCGAACTACAGCACTGATAGTTCATCTGTGGTATTCATTAGCTTTTGCATCTAAAAGTAAACGCACTTACAAATTGTAGAACTAGTCTACACATAATTACACTATATGCATTGACCCTTTTATTACTTTTGGGCAACTTTGTGTATGGACATATGTCATTTTGCTAGTATGTATATGTATGTATTCTCACTTTCAGCAAGACGTACATCTACAAACTGATTTGTTTCAGCAATATATAAGCAATATGTAAACTGTCCCAATTCTGGGCTTGTGATCTCAAGCACTTTGCAGTGGAACACTGTGCAATGGAAACTAAACAAAAAAAGCAATAATTTTTGATCGCGTAATTTTAAATACCAATTGAGACATCACAAAGAAGAAAACGCATTAGAAAGGGAAAAGCAAGCAAACAAAAATCTTCAATGTTACATTATTACTCTTTAATTCTTATAATGCTGGAGATGCTTAAAATAGCAGTCATCTGAAAATTTCAACGACTTTCTGAGTACTGGAGAAAAATAAGACCAAATCTTCACCCTCCCCCACCTCCACCCTGCAAACTTAATTTGACATAATTTTAGAAGTTGAACTTACTCATTTGTTGGAGCCGAAAGCTTCGATTTTGTTAACTCCTCACCTAAGCAAAAGACGAAATAATAAGACCAAAGCTATGGTATGGTAAAATATAAATATTTCTGCTTCATTATAAAAATATAGTAGATGTTTATGATTGCTGTTCAAAGCTAATTACGAATTATTAAGAAAATGTATTATTTCAGATAATGTAAATTCAGATGCTCCTGAAATACCTTCTGAAGCAAGGGGACTATACAGAGCAAAGCATTTTGGAAGGAAGTATTTCTTTAAATCACTTCAAATCTCTTCCTCAAATTAAACTGCTTACATTGAGTTTATTCTTCAGCAATTCTGGCTTGTTTTCTCACTTAACAAAGAAAACCAAACAACCTAGAGGACTGAGACTCACACACTCCGCTTTCCTGGTCAGGTTTTGTATTTTTGGTTTTAGATCAGACTACTTTGCAACTTTGGGAATAATACTTAAGATGGTAGAAGGGCTCACACAAGAGTAATCTCCGTTTGACTCTTGGACTTGTTCTTCATCACAGTCACAGTCTCATCTGATTCCCAGCACAGGGAACAGTTAAGTATATAGAAAATGAAAAGATCTTTGGAGGTTACTAGCTGCTTTGAAATTTTGACCAGACAAGCTAGTTTTGTCCTTTGAATTGACTATGAGTAGTTTGTTTGAAGGAAAATATCAAAAAGGTATCCAGAATTGACAAGATAAATATTTTCCTACTTAAAATACTGAGTAAGTTCATTTCTGAAACAATAAAAAAATCTATTTTCATGCTAGATCAAAAAACTAACATAAACAGACTAGAAGTTAAACAGTCACACTTACTGGATGAATTTCGATTCATTTGTGCCTGAAACAGAAGAAGAAGAAAAAAAATTTAAACCAATTTCCAAACAGAATGCTTAATAGTCTTAGGGCTCATATTTCCACTCTACTTTCTATGAGATATTTTGCTTTCAAGACACCAGGTAAAACATTCTGGAGCTTATAGAAAACCAGAACAGGACCTGTGACAGAACTAATGCACACTCACAACATGGAACAAGAAAAGGCAGGAAAGAAGACTGCTGAGCTGATAAAGTCAGCAGTATGACCACACAACTTTGCAGGCTAGGTCAGGAAGATACAATAGTTTTCATATCTCACTGTACATCTGACAGATAAATCATTCCTCAGCCTTTCTCAATACACTGTTGTACTATTTTAAGCATAGTACATTTTCTCTCACACATAGTACACTCATTTGATTTTAAATAAAAAAGATGAATAAAAAGCCATTTTGTACTTACAGGACTGTGTCTCTGCTTTCAAAACATGGGGAAAAATAGAAAAATCGCCATTAGTATTTTAATGTTACATATAGTATCTTCCTTGTTATCAAAGCCATCATAATTCTGATCTAAGTATTGTACTAGATAAATTCAAAACTATTTGTAGTACCATGGCTTGATGTGAAGGATCATTCTGTGATTAGGCAGAATGCACACAGTGAAGCTGCACCTTACAAACTACACATATCCACATTATATAATCAGTTTTAAAAGTCTGAGCACTCCTAAGACTTACAGGAAAGCTAAAATCTAAGGGAGAATTATTTTATATTGCAACAAAGTGCATTAAGGGAAACTTACTCTGCAATGAAAAGAACTTGAATATAGAATAAGTTCTGGATAGTAAATGGAATATTTACAGTAAAGATTCCTTATGACTTTTCTTCTCATTAAAAATACAAAGAACAAAATTACTTACAGATGTTGCTGGAGAAAGAGCAATGTTCCCTATAGAAACTTTTAATTCATCCAATGAAGGCATAGTGTATTGAGAACTATTATTTGGCTGTACAGGTTTTATTTCTATATGGAACCTCCTGGGTTCATCATCTTCAGAGTCAGAATCACTGGATGAATAGAAATGGTTCTCTTTGATATGTTTTTCTCAGTTAAGGTGGAAATGACAATGGAGTGTCCATGGTACCTCTGCCAAGCATAACTGCAGAGGAAGCAGGAGTAGCAGCCATTACAACTTGCCATTTCTGCAGAGTGGTGCTGACAGTTTCACTGCAAAAGATGCCAGCTACACAGAAGGCTGTCCAGTAAATGAAACACTACTGTCAGCCTACAAAGGAATCACAGTGACAACACAGCCTTCAAAACTAGCAAAATATATGTAGTAGTGGTTCTTTATATGATTCTTCATATGCATATAAATTCCATTGGGTAAAAGCTCTGAAAGGTCTATTCTAATTCTTAAAAGTGCATTTATTTTTACAAGAAACAAACTGCAAAACTTCCTGCACTCTAACACAAAAAGTATCTTGCTGTCTGGGTGAAGAACACATAATCTATATATTGCTTCTGTTATTTTCACTTTGAAAAAAGACAGCCATATGAACAAAATCTCTTCAAAGCATTCCCTGACAAATGTCAAAACCCTAAACCCTAAAGGCATTCCAAATCCAATTCAACTGACAGATTCCCTGAGATCTGGTGAAGCAATATTCAGATATCTAAATCTTAGTCTGTTCATCCTCAAAAATCGATTACATCTGGAAAGCACAATTTTAAAGACAAGTCATTTTTTATTTCAGAAAACTGCTTTCTTTTGAAAGCTTCTGAGTTTCAAGATTCATTTCCTACCCATCAGGCTGTTGTACACAGCTTTTGTAAAGTGGCACAGGCTGACCACTGAAGTCTATGAAATGGTTACTGGCAAAGATCAGTTGAGATGTGAATGCCTTGAAATGAAAGGTCACTTCATGAAAGTTTTTTCAACACTTAAGACTGGCCTTACAAAGCCTGACTGCCAACAAATCATCTTAAGAGTTCCCATATGCAGAATAAATAACCATCCTTGGATGCTATTGGAAGGAAAAGAAGAAAACTGATGACTTCCTGAATCTGGCCAAGAGATTCTGAAGCTGTGGTATAACCTAGCTGACAAGGATTGCAAATCACTAAGCTTTGCCACTAGATGTACAGACTTTTCCATTTCCTCATGACAGAAAGGATAATGGAGAAAAGAATGTCTGGGTGAATCATTTACAAAGAATGAACGTTATTCACTCCTGTCTCCATTTCATAACTATACATAAAGCATGAAGTAATGACGTTCCCCTCAGAACTGAATAATAGTCTTTCATTTTTATATTGGTTTTGTAAATAAGAAATAATGTGACTGTTTTTACCAGCAAAGCAAACTTCCCTGGGGTCAGCAGAAGAATATTCTGCAAAGTTGATACGAGCAGAGAAGCTCTGAAGGATTGACACACATTAAGGTGCTTTCAACCAAAAAAATGTTGTACTATTTAAGGTAAATTCAAGTGTAAGTTTACTTTTTATTTCTAGTCTCTCCCCAGAAAAGCAGAATACATTCCCAAAAATCAGTGATTTTGCTAAGGGATTGCTTAGACCTATCACAAGCCAGATCTCACGTCCTGAGCACAGCCTGTTTCTGATGGGAGAAAGAGGAAAAAATCTTTTTCTTCAGAGAAAGAGCAGAAAAAATCATGAGCTTCCATGAAAAACGACTCATGGCAAAAACTTAATCAACTTACACAACAACTATTAACATACAATAAAAACTCTGTGTGCTGGAATGACTTCACTAAGAAGCAGAAGTTCTATTTCTGGACTGTTGGCATTCCTAATCTTTTTAATGAGGTTATAAAACCGTGGAGAGGGTGCAGGTATAGAACCAGTAACTGTTTACCCTGTGTAAGATAGTTCTACTTTATGAACTCTCTGAAAGCTTTTCACAGAGAAAGGCCTGCATGGCTACCTTCAAGTTTTTGTTCAGATCTTTGCTGTCTTTAGACAAAGAACACTCTTACCATTCCTAATACATCAGATTTAAATTTTAACGTTTACACACACACACAGAATCAAGGCTAGACAAAATTCAACATAGTTTGCAGAAACCGTGAACACAAGAATGCAAATTTGAAACACAAGTACCATGACATTTTCCTCTGCTTAACTGTTTAATCAGTATTCTCCCTCTTCAAAAGATTATTACAAGATCAAATAAATTAGCACAGTAATAGTGAAAAGGATATCCTGTGTTGTTTCTGGTTTAATGCTGTATCCTTCATCATCTACATCAGGAATGTTCTAAAACAAAACAACAAAAAAGGTATTGACAAGTAAGTAAAAAAAAATTCTTACATTCAACTGGATCTTATACAACTGACAAACTGAAATTTGATTATGATGGCTAATTAAAGTAATCACTATTTAACATTAATTATTGCAGTTATTTCAAGTTATTCTCTATAGATAAAAAGTAGAAAATGCAACAAAACAACCTCCACGTTTCCTGTGAAAATACATTTCCTGTGAGTCTCAATCACCTCCTTTATTTTGTTTTTTTTTACCAGTATGCCACCAGTATTTTGCCAGTATGCTACCAAAAAGGCCAGAAGATAACAGAAGTATGTTAGGTAAGTAAGCCTACAATTCTTTTTGCCCTAAATATTTTCCCAGTTTCTACTTCTAATTCCTTCAGTTAAAGCACTGAAGGTTCTGATGATGCAGGAGCATAAATTTACTAAGCACTGGTCAAAACTTCATTATGCGAGTAAAAGCATTCCAGGTTATAACAGCCTGCAAATTTTCTCCCCCTTGAAAAGTCAGCAAGACTGCACTGGTGCTTCAGCAAAAGGTATCTACATTAAGTAAAAACCACGGATGAAACTTAAAAGACATCTCCAGCACTGGGCTGGATTTTAAAAGCTACTGAACAATCAGGAATTTCAGTTTTTCAGGTACTGCAGATAATTAAATATATAAACTGAGAAAATTGCACTAAAAATAATTTAGAATGCTAGCTAATGACTTTGTTTCACAAAAGCACTTTGGAACAGAGAGAAACAAGTTTCTAGTAGGATAATCTCAATTTTAATTATATGGGAAAAAAAGCCCAACTTGTTTATATTATATACAGACTGATATACTTTCATATACGGCTAATTATCCCATTCAAAACAGAAGAATAAATGAAAAGACCATGAGTGACTTTGTGAACTGAGCTGCCACAAATAAGATTATTATATAAAAAGCAGAACCCACACATCTTCAACATGTACCGATTTTATCAGTTTCAATTTTTAATACAAACATGAAGATTCACACTAAAAAAAAAAAAAAAAAAAAAAAAGACATTTATTCTAATTTACCAACAATTTACCTGTATTGTATTTGAAAACAGGTAGTGGGAGGCAATCTGAATGAAAGCAAACTTTACATTATGGCCAAAATACATCTTTCTGATGTAAGTCATTAGATACAAGAAGATAACTTACACTAGAAACTTCTAGTGAGCTAGAAAACAGCCAGAAAATCTAAAATTTGAACTTGGGTTTAAAGACATATTCAGCTTGAATTGATTTAGATAAGCATAAAACTGCTGTCCTGCAGAAATCACAAATGGGGCGTCTTGTATGTTATTGTCATGTCCTTCTAAACTTAGCAATTGTGAATTAAATTGAATTAATTTAAATAAAGATCAAACTTTTTGCCAAAAGGATTAGGAAACACTTAAGAATAGGTGACAGCATACCTAATTAGAAAGCACATTAAACTACAGACAGTAAAACTGTATAAACTCATACTATTAAATATAGAAGATTTAGGTGCAATTTCTTTAAACTTTTAAGACATGGCCACACTGCTATTTGATTAAAAAAAAAAAAGAAGAAGAACTGGAGAAAAAAATGTAATAAGAGTAGGATCACACGGTCCAGTACCTTAGCTCTACTTGCTCAAATCAGGGTTCTTAGCTACGCTTGACCTCAGGCCGACCTTGTTTATATGCCAAAAAACACTAATGAAACCTGACATCCAAGTAAACAGAACAAAAACATATAGCTAGAGGGTTCTTACATGTTCTTACTGCAACTTCTGAATTCTGCAGTTGTTGTAATAGTAAATTTTCAATAGATAAGGATCATTCATGGTTAAGATGAATTGAAAAACTACAAAAGTCTTTAAACATACAACATTCAGTTCTTCTCCCAGCCCAGGCATATATGTAAAAGATATTATTACTGGGGAGATGCAACACAAACAACAGAGTTCACAAATATGCCTGCTTTGATTTAAAATTGGGAAAAAAAACCTTTGTTTGCAGAAAATGTTCTCATTGCACTATTTTAATCCATTCTCTAAAATAAATTGCATCTGTCAAAGGTACTGAAATCTTAATATTCTTAAAAGTATTCAATTTCCTAGCATTTTTGCCTTAACTACTTCTGATCTAGCAAAAATATTTGTAACAACAATTTATGAGCAATGTCACTTCAGCACATTGCTTGTATGCCTAACTTCCTGCAAAAAGTCAGCTAATATGCTCATAACAGAATTTGACTTGTAATTCTTTCTTCCTATTTTGAAATTCAAATATATAATTTGAAATTATGGACCTTACATAGTGTAAGCAGAATCAGAAATCATTAGCTTTACGTTTCCAGGTTTCTCAGTGATTCAGATTGATTTTGTAAAAAATTCTGATCACTCTTAACATATTTTCTGCTTTCTACAATACTGAAATTGTGTTTTTGTATAAACTATTAAAAAAAGGGTGGGTACCAACTGTGTCATATACGAGTAGCATGTTAACTAAAAATCTTACAAATTAATTCCAAAATACTGTTTTCACAGAGAACTGCTTTCCTTACTTTCTAAAACATGAGACTATTATTTACTAATATCAAATTTCTTAACAGCAGCAGAAGATACAGCTCTTTGGGTAAATTATATATTCACAAATTTCATATTAAGGAAGATATTTGCATTTAGTTTGATAAGCCTCCTCCAAACTCCTACAAAGACAGAACTGTAAGTCAGGTGTGTCTTTTAAGTACTAGGCATGCTATAGTCAAGTCCTGATTTGCCTACCATGCAGAAATGAAGAAAAAAAACACAACATCCACTTCTGAACTTCATCACAGAGGAAGATCATCTTTGCAAACTTTGGTTTTCCATAAGAAATAGTTATTAGTATGATTAGGAATTCAGGTTTAGCCCCCCCATAATAACTCTATTTGTTTCCAGGAAAAAAAAAAAAAAAAGCTCAATATGGATATGACTTGAATTCTGGATGTTTGCAGATGTGATACAACACACGGATTCATGTCAAATATAGTTTCAAGTATATATATACATACAGGCATACATATACATTTTTATATGTATGTATATGCATACTGGTAAAAGCATGCATGTAACAAAAGTACATTTATAACTTTTTCTTGGCCTTAGTAAGTTTCACAGACTTTCTGGGCTGAATTTCTTTTTGAAGAAATGTAACAAAAGGACATAATAAATAACAAAGTAAAACTGCAAATACAAGAAGTATGAGGGCTTGGAATTCTATTGCCAAAACTCATTTTCAGAATTTTAGTCAACACTTTGTTAATTAAATGTTATGTCTCACCTACAATCTAAAAACAACGGGAGAAACCAAAGTGCTACCTTGTCACCGATTCCTTAAAGGTAGATAGGAAGTAAAAGAGAAGAACATTTGAAGTATTTTGCAGTCTAGCTATTTCCTTTGTCCCTTCATCAGCAACAGAAGAACTGCTCATAGCTCAGTTACTGGGCCAAAAAATAGACTTAACTGAACTTCAGCAAGATTTCTACCTTTCTTCTCCTCTTGGCAATCTACAATGATTATGAGAGCTTCTTATGTCATCTTCCTCAAAGTATGCTGCAAATTACGACTGAGCTGAACAGTTTTCTATTTCTTTTTTTTCCATTGGAATTCTCTGCCATTTTACCGAAGAAGACTGACTTCCTTCTGCATATTCAGGTGGAGAAAAATCAAAGTAAGCAGTTGATGCTTGTAGCCTGAAAGAGCAGGAAAAGGAGCCTCTCCACTTTTAATAAATTTGAGATGCCAATTTGACCCAGGTAAACCCTGAAGTACAAAGGTTTGAATGACATTCTCAGGCTCCTCTCTTTAGGATACCTAATAACACATACACACGCAAAAACCCACAGCAACACAGAAGAAGAGAGTAGCCACTCATTTTGTCCCATTGACAGAGGTGCAAGAAAAACAAGGTATTTGGAGTGTTCCACCTGCAACTGTGGCTAGAAAGGCTCATGTCCTATAATAGCAGCAGCTATTCTAAACTGTGTCAGTAGGAGATAAATATTACAAAATGTAAGCAAAAAAAAAAAAAAAAAAAGACTGAATAAAGAAATTTATAATTATGGTTATACTTATTCTCCATAAATTAAGAGTACAGTACTTCCAAATTGAGCCACTTCTTACCAATAAAAAGTCTATAAATCTAGATAATCTGAATTATATTATACATATGAGGTTAATGAAAACTTTTGGATGCCTCAGTGTATTTGTTTTCATTATAGTTTCCTATATAATAAAAAGGTCCAGCATTACACTCTGTGCATTTGTGACTCCCTTCTTAATTACTTTTGAACTTACTGGACAATTTCAAATGGATTTGACAGAACAGAGGACTCAAAGATAATTGCATTACTAGAGTTTTCATGAAAAAAAGCAGTGAAGTAGAAGAGAGGGAGCTGCTAGTATTCCAGACGGGAAGGTCCGCAATCAAAACTCAGACCTTACTGGACACAAGTGAAATCCTGTAAATACTTTACCAAAAGAAAAGGTTCTGCTAGAGCTTTTAACTTCCTGTAGACCTAGGAACACGTCAAACCTATTAGTTCTGCCCATGTAGCAACTTGCTAGGTAATGAACATGTATACACAGCCAAACTTCAGCTGTTATCTCTTTCTTGTATACACGCTGTTAGCTGTCTATTTTCTTAATTATCAAGGCTAAACTTAATGGAAGTTACATGTTTAGACTGACACGTAACAATGCAGGAATTTTTAATCTGCATTATTCATTTTGGACTGGTGCGGAGAGCCAGATGGAACTTGCCACTTAATATATGTTTAAAGATCCACAGTATCACATAGGACTGGTAGATCAAGTATTTAAGTCAATTCTTACTTGATCTTTAATTTCTAAAAATACAATGTATGTAGCTCAGTGTGTACAATCATAATTGCAGCTTGGTTACCTCCTACAACCCTCCCTCTAAAGAGAAAAACAATTAAAATCCTTGACAAATTAACAAATGCCATCTTTTAGAAAAGATGACATTAATACAAAATCCAGAGGATGAGATTTTATTGAGTGACCAAAGATGAAATTCACAATCTTAATCATAATTAAGGGGCACCTTAAGTAAGTTGAATTTTCTGAGAACTCATCTTTAGCATTTTCTAGCAATCAAATAAAAAATAACAGTAATGGACTTTGCTATTAAAGCATTCTACCACTTAAAATGGTAATGTTGCTGGTAAAAAGCAAGAAGAAATGACAGATCAAATTTTAAACTCTGAATACATGAAAAAAAAGATTTTGCATTAAAAAGAAGAGAAGGTTAAGAAACTGTTATTGCTGTTAGATGATATGAAAGCTAATTTTTTAAAATAACTGTGTTTAGACAGATCAATTAACTTAAATGATTGTAATGGTCTTCCTCATGCAGCCAGAAAGAACATCAGATTCATTTACAGTTGAATTAATTATTTTCTAAAAATGTAGAGACCAAAATAAGCAAGGAAGAAAATAAACACTGCAAGTCAAACCCACTTGTGTTTCACTCCAGTGACTCAACCCGAACTGTCAAAAGAAATTATTTCATTGAAAACCCTGATAATTATAGGGATAATTCTAAATTTACATAGCTTTAAATGTACCCAAGAAAAAAAAAATGCTTTAAACCAAGATGACTTTGTATAGGATGAAACAACTGTCTCATATGACGCTTACAAGGCTCTTCATAGACAGACAGTTATATTAGGTAGCAAAATTAACATTTCCTTATTTAGAAAAAAGGTCATAGTAGATTTAAAAAAAAAAAACAACAAATTACTCAAAAAAAAAAAAAAAAGCTTTTTAGTAGGTACTGAAACCTACAGACACTATATGCAAGGAAGAAATTTCTACAACAGTTGAATTCGAAGAGTTAAATTGCCTAATATAGTTGGCATGTAAGTGAACAAAAAAACATATAAGTCTCTAGAAAGTCTCTTAAACTATTCTGTAAATTACTCCCTACCATAGCTACTGGAAGCTCCGATCTCCATTATATGTAATTCAAGACAACTGACATGTTTCAATAAAAAAAAGGGCTCAATTAAGTGTTAACATTTACTGCTTATTTTTATTAGAAAAAAAAAAAAAAAGAAAATGTAAGTCATGGCACTGAGAGCAATGAAGAAAAGACCATGAAAAAAAAAGAAATACTATGCTTAAAGCAATATTTTTAAAAGTATACTGCTATACTCTATTGCAAGCAGTAAAGCAGAACTCCATTAATTTCAGAAGGGTTGTTCATGGAGATAGTAATAATGCAGAGGAATGTGACGATTCATAACTGGATCCTCATGAATACATACTGAACCTTTAACTCACTTGGAATCTATTAGTCAAGCAGTTCAAACTACTAACTTGCAAAATAAAGTAGCAAATCATTGTTGTAAAAACATCCTGTTTAAAACCTGAAATGGATGGAAATACAAACATATTAAAGATGAATGTCTTTATGTACTGTGAAAGATTATGTTCTGAGTGAAAGTAACACTTCAATTATGTTAGTGAAACACTAAATCCTCTATCACATAAATAACACTTAGCAGGGCCTGTATGTAAATTGCAGTGCCTGACAATGTTAGCATACACATTTGTGTTAGAAATGAGTCTACTTACAACTGAGTCTGCATCTGGACACTCCCTATTAAAAAAAATAAAGAGAAGGTAAAATTACAAAACACATAAATGGTTTTATTCATACAGTCCCAGTACTTCCTTCCTTTAATAATTTCAGTTAATTTGGAACATTGTGTTTGACTCATTTGCCTCACAAAGTCTGTTAAAATTTTTACTGTATTATCTACACGTGACTGGATGAGACATAAAAGAAAAAAAAAACAAACAAAAACCTCTAAAAAAATTATGCTGGAAACTCCACAGAAGAAAAATTCACAATAAATAATGAAAAACCAAACTCACATCATAGTGAAGACAAAAAGAATCAATGGAAGGCAGGGGTTCCACATTCTATTTTGGATGAATACACTTTAAGAGTCAGGTCTCTGCAGATTATGTGCACAGTAAGTAAAAGTCACCAACGCTAATGAAACATTTTGTATGATAACCAGCTCTTAAAGCAATTAACACTATTCCTGAAGTTATTCAGATCTTTCCTCCTTGGGAATTTCAGTCCTAGTTCATGTTTGTTAAGTACAATTAGAGTCAAGCACCAGAAAATGCTGGAAAAACAAAAAGTATCCTAAAAAAAACCCTGAAAAAGTGTTTGATAGGAAGGTAATGATTACAAAAACATTTATATATGTTATATTCCTCCACATTAACTTGGATTAAAGCAGTAAGAGAGAATAAACAGAAAGAGAAGGAATTACATTTAAAAAATGTGGTAATGCTTCAGGAGCATACAGGCCCTCTCTAATCAGGACCTTGACAAATCACACTGTAAATGCAAGTGCAATTGAAAAACAGCATTTTGATGCAGTCAAATTAAAAACAAAAACATCTTAAGGAAAACAGAGAAAAAAACAAACAAGCAAAACAACCAGACATGCCACAGAGCATAACGAGGGGAACAAAGATGCAAAAACACAGCTTATTTTTGTCGTCGTTATTGCTGTAGATGCTCTTCAGCAAGAAACATGCATATAAAGCTTACCCGAAATCATGCCACATTAATGCCAAAAATCAATGTTAACAACAGATTCAGGCAAATAAGTTCCAGATTTGGAAAAGATGCATCTCACACTATAGTTATTGTATGTATACTACACCACAAGCTTTACTTAACTAAGTATCTTAAGTTTTAGATCAAGATTTTAGCTCACAAGATTCAAGATAGATAACTGAGATTGAAATTTTAAATGTTGTACAGCTGATTAATGTAGCAAATCTTACTTTTGTGTTAGCTGATTCATTACTACTGAAGAAAAAGCTTATCTTTCATTATTTCAATACTAGTGGTAAGTGGACTACATGATGTTGGAGGCCTGCTTCAATCTCAGTGATTCTATGACTCTACGGTTCTATGACTCCCTGAAAGGTTAAATGGGTTAAATGTAAAAGCTACAGCACCTTTCAAAACAGGTATGACAATCTGCTAATATGGAAGGAATAATACAGAATTCGGTCCAGCCTGTTACGGTACTGACAGTGAGATGAAGGATTCTGCCTTTTCTGAAAGGCTGCCCACAAAAGAAAACATGTGTGAATCTAATCGTCCTATGTCTTATCTCCCCCTACTGGTTGAACTGATTTCAGAGCAAAAGAAAACGCTATTCTAAACGCTACTTCGCAGCCTCAAGAGACAAAGTACCCAAAAGATTCAAAGTGCTGGTGAGGTGGAAAACAAAGACAACAGGTTTTAGATGGACGTACTTTTACACTGCTAGATGCACGACCTTTTACGATTAAAGGACCAGGTCATGCTTTTACTGTGAGGTAATATATTTTGGAAAATGAGAACTTTGTGAGGGAATCCATGGATTCTAGCTGATAACTAATTCAAACAGAATAGCAGTGAAACACTTGAGTCTGTACAGCAAAACATAATACACCATACTGTGCATGACAATTACCTGTGCAAAAATACTGCTAGGTACAATGCCCAGTTTAGATGTCAACTCTTCAGAGACTGATAAATTTCTCACATTACTGATAAATTGAAAAGCCTAGAAACCTGGAGTTACTTATTCTAGGTTTGGAAAGTCAGCTCTACACAAGCAAAATAAGCTGCCAGTCCAATTTAGTATGAGATTAGGAAATGAGTTGACCTCTCTGAACAGAAAATTTTCTTATGCACAGTTCTATCATGCAGAGTCTGTAAGCAGAACATCAGCTGAAGATGAAATCAAGCAAAATTTAGACAAGCAATAAGGAGATGGTAAATGATTATTAGAATATTTTACTTAAGAACTTAATGGATCCTCTTTAACTTATTAACCAAATATTAAAATACATGATGTAATATATGTGATATGATAAATTAGGTATTAATTTTGTTAAAAATCTATGGCATGTGTTATGCAGTAGGTCAGTATCATGCACTTATACTTCTTTCTTACTAACCTCAGCATCTGTTCATTTTTGCATTGTGAGTAAAAATAGAAACAAAAAGTGTAATACAAATCAAGTTCAACTTCAAATTGTTGCAATAAGGAAACTTATTTTCCCATTTCAGAGTGGTTGCACCAATTTTAGTTGTCTGATAACATCACTACCTAATGAAAAAAAAAAAGGTCTCCCAGAAGGAGACAGACATACTATTTTTCTATGTTAAATATAATGTATTTGAGAAAACTAGCTTTTACAAAAGCATTCTGAACCACGAAAATTTTCTTCTGTTATGGGTCAAGGATACATCTGAGACAAATGAATCTGGAGCTTCCTGATCTTTACTGGCTCCAGAAAGTAAGTCTTAAATTTTCCTGGAGGCAGGTTAAACGTATCTGACAAAGAATGAATGGAAGGAGATGCTTGGTTTGCAAGCAAGTTAATGACATATATGACAAGAGATCAGCTTGTGTAATAACTCATTTAGTGGCAGGGTTTTTTTTTGTTGTTGGAAAACTACAAAATTCAATCATATAATAGTATTCAAAACTCAATATGCAGAATCACAACTTTGTAATTAGGTAAATGCAAAGAACAAAAGGCAAATGAATGAGCATACTGCTGCTCAAAGTTGCAAGTCCAGCATCCCAAAAATGTGTAGTAGATCACTTTTTACAGAGATTATAATTTCTAAAACATGTACAAAAACTACTTAAAACACTAATATAATCAAATATTTATAACACTCTAAGTATTCTAAACTAAACCGTAAAAAAAATCCTCATACTTTGTAATTGTATTCCTAAATTTTTGCTGACCAAAACCATACTGTATATATTTATCTCAGCATTTACTTCAGCACAAGAGAATACCGAAGAGACTGCAGAAGAAGGATTAAATCACAGAACGGAAATACAAAGGGATGACTTAAAACATGTGACAGCCTGGAGCTTTAGTTACACCTTCACAGCAAAAAGAAAAAACACGGTTTTGAAGTACATAACTGTTAAAGTTAAACACAAAAAGAAAAATATCTGTAGGACACTTCATACATGTAAAAGATCAAATCTTAGGTAATTAATTTTTTCAGCACTTAAAAAAATTAACTTAAAAAAATTATTTCCTGAAAAATAAAATAAAAGCTTAAATAGCTACAAAAATTGTGAATATCTATGACATTTTCATATTGTCAGAACTCTTCTAAACATGTTATAACACCAACTTTCATTAAACATCAGCTCACTCCATACTTGCACAGGTTTTCATGCAAGATAGAACTTCAAGCTGGAAATACACTTACACAGACTCAGTATCTTTTTCTTTTTTCATTATTCCTGATAAACCAAAAGGCTTCCTCTTCCTTGGTTTTATTCCTGCAAAACAAAGCACTTATCATTTAAAGATCAAAGAGAAGGCATCTAGCACCGCCAAACATTGGTGCTCTTCACTATGAACACCTTTTGAACAGTGATATAATGATTCATATAAACAGACAGCAATGGAAGTTGTACCGTGCGAAACAAAGGAAACACAAAATATCTGTAATATTTTTCCCATATGCTTTTTATAAAACACAAATAAAAAAATAAATCAAAATACAGTTAAGGCAACACACTGCTACTGTACAATTCTCAATGTTCAGTATGCTAGACTGTTAACTCTTTTACAAAAGATTGAAGCACTGCTAGTTTTGAAGAAAGGGAGTCTACTCACAGAAACTCAACAGGAGCTATTTCTCCAGCTGAACAGTCATGGATCAGAATCATGGACAGAATAGCACTTGGATCAGAAGCCAAATCTGCCTCTATCAGCAACTGCACTTCAAAACCCAGCTCTTACTTCCTTGAATGACCCTAGCTGCTGCAAGCCACCGATTCTCCTAAGAAGTAGGATCTTTGTCCCATAAAAAAGTGAACATCACTTGGCTTTCTTGCTTCTGCTGACTTCATGACTTTCCAGAGCTGTTGCTAGTACTGAGTCGGGGGTCATGCCTCCCCTCCTGTCTTTTTTGTCTCACTTTCAGCATGGTTACATATGCCTAACTGCAGTACAGAAAAGAAGTTCTTATTCATAACCATTTAACATGCTAAAATCAAAACACATTTAAATATTCCATCACTGCCATTTCTGCTTCTCTCCTTATTTATTTTTTTTTTTTTTGCTGCAGCTAAGTATTCTGTCTCACTTTAAACAAAATGTTTAGCTAAGTGCAAAGATCAGATCCAATGAGTCTACAGTTTTGTTTCGACTTAATACACTGCCTGCACCAAACTTTTGAGAAGAAAGGTGGACACAGTTTAGTTCCTAAAAATTTTAAAACTGATAGCTCAAGTGTATCATTAAAATAACATTAAACTTTCCTTCATAGAAATACACTACAAAGGCTGCTCTGAAAGTAAGGCCCCCTATTTAATGTTGTTGTTCCAGGATATCAGAGGCAGATGCTGGTGGTTTGTCAGTAGAGGTTGAACCCACTTACATTCATTGACACTTGCTGAACATTTATGGCGATCAAATAGTGAATGTGAGGACAGTGAGGCAGTGCATGGTGCATTTTGGCAGTGGCAAATGGGTAACCAACACTGGTGCAGATGCTTACAAGTGTAGCATGCAGGCTCATGTTCATCAGTGGTGAAAATGCATAGCTAATAGGTGTGACTCCTGAAAAACAGTGTTCTGTAGCTGAGAATTTGCCAAATCAAACAGTGTTACAGTGCTCCTCGTATCTGATGTAGTTTCCATGGAAATAAATCGGAGGCATTACTTTTGGAGTGACTTCCATACGCAGCACATAAGGAGTCTCTCCACTCCTGGAAAACTTATGGGTGAAATACTTCAAAATTTCTGAAATCAGGTAGCTGCAAACTTAGCTGTATCTTATGTTTCCACAGGGGCACAGATAGCTCCAAAATTATTTTAAAATGTTAGTCTGACATTCATATCCAGCTCAAAACAACAACAAACAGAATATCGGAATTGTTTCTTGACAGGGATTCCCATTATTTCAGTCAAAAAAAAGCTTTAAGTCTCAGCTGCAACCTTGGCAACTTCAGAACTGTCGGCCAGTACAGCTATTCTGTCAGCTCCTCTGCTCCAAGACTAAATACACATGCAAATAAAACAGTTCTTAACCACTTTAAACAATTCCCTAAGTAAAATAAGTTACACCAACAAAGGAAGGATCTGCGACCATAACACTGCATTAAAATTGGTACAACAAACATGACAACAATGGAAAGAGCCTGAGCCATATTTTGACACTCGTAAATTAAGTTACACAGACATAACTGAACCAAATCCAAACCTCTCAAAACATAAGGTCTTAGCAAATGTACATTTATAATACACATTAACATTCTCTGACAATGATGCATTAGGCTTATAAAAAATTACTGTAGGTCTTATTTTCTTTTAAATTTGTTTCTCAAAATAATAACTGCTTTTTAGCCTGCTAAAATACTTTCAAGTTAAATACATTCACAAGCCATTTACCGTTTGCTCCTCAGTTTCAGATACTACGTACTGCAAATAACTGCTAGAATAACTCACCTTCAACTGCACTGGATGTATTACATTCCTCAAATTCGATAGGACCTTAAATAAATTAGAATGAAAATAAACATTAGATTAAATTCAATTTCAAGTGAAAGTCAAACACTAAAACATTTTATCCACTGCTAGTATTTCCTGAAAACATTAGATAATCTATTCAGGATTTTAAATGGTAAAGGAAAACCTCAATGGCCAATGGTCAAACAGTTGATAAAATCTTACACATAGTGCATATCATTAAGTATTTTTACTCCTTCACAGTGAAAAATTATAATTCTAATGCACGCTGTCCAAATATAATTTAATATCCTACATTATTACGACCAGGTTTCCTTCTCTAAATCCAAATTGTATATGAAACAAGCTTTAGATTTATCTTCTTTTAATAGAAGAGCTATGCAAAGAAAAGTAAAAAAAAAAAGAAAAAAGGATAGCTATAGCCCTAATGTTGAGGTTCACATTCTTTCTAATTTATTTCCTCTGCTTCTTCTTCATAGCCAATTACCCGGACAATTAGAAGGGAGGTAGAGACTCTTAAACACAGCAACAAACATTGTAACGGGCAATTTTAACCCTCTTTCCTTCAATCAAGCAAAGTCTATAATTTGTTTAGCTCCAACACAGACCATTTTAGGAAGCTGGGCTGGCAGAAGAGCAATGGATTTCAAAAAGACATTGGCAGGGGATTAGAAAGAATCCCACCAGCACTTGAGCTTGTGTTAAGAAAGCAAATAACAACAAGAATAGGGTCCGTGGGCCACACTGAAAGAGCAGGCCGCAGCTGCAGCCACAAAGGTGAAAACAACGCTGAGCACAGTCACATGGGACACGGCGCTTATCCTCACATTTTCAGGGAGTACACACAAGCTCACAGGTACACGCATTATGGAACAGTGTGCTTCCAACCCTGCAAGGCAGCCAATCTTTCCTTTTCAACCTCTAATTCTATTTACCAGCGCTGCTCCGAAAGTAATGCCTCCTATTTTATGATACTGCCCCATGATGTCATAGGCAGATGTTGGCGGTTTGTCAGTAGAGGCTGAACCTTCCCACCAATATTCCATTACGTGTTGTTACCATGGGGCAGATGGCAGCAGAGGGACACTGACTAAATGGTGTCAATGAATTCCTCCATGTGGAAAAAAATGGCACCCACTGACATTCATTGACACTTGCTGAATGTTTGTGGAGATCAAACAGTGAATGTGAGGACAGTGAGGCAGTGCATGGTGCATTCAGGCAGTGGCAACAGCAGGTCACCCACACTGGTGCGCGTGTTTACAAATGCAGCATGCAGGCTCATGTTCATCAGCAGTTAAAATGCATAGCTAATGGGGACTCTTGAAAAACAGTGTTTTGTGGCTGAGAATTTGCTATATCAAATAGTGTTATTGTGCTCTTTGTATCTGTTGCAGTTTTTCATGGAAACAAATATAAGGCACTACTTTTGGAGCAAGCTACATATTTCAACACTGCTGAAAGGGAGGCTGAAATGTTGAAAATTTTGATTAAAAGAACTGGAAATAAACTAATTCTGAAAACTTCATATATAGAAACTGTTTTCACTCCTAACCCTAAACAAATGTGACAGTAAATGCTCCAATTTACCTTTTTAATGAAATTAATGTTATTCTAGAACACCTGCTAAAAAGCCAAAGGCTATGCAATGTTCACATAAAATAAGAGGTGTGCTTGCAAGCAATTTCCAGTGTTCTCCCCGGCACACTTTTCAAAATGAATGTGATAATTCTGAGTCTCAAAAAAAATAGTTGATGTAAACAGATCTTAGAAGAAAGATGAAGAAGTTTGGTTTAAATAGTACAAGATAGCAAATCACTGTGCTGCAATTAAAAATGTCACAATAAAAATTAAAAAAAAATGTAGCTATGAATTAGAATTGTGAATTGCAGAAGAACTTCTTTACAGTGAGGGTGACGGAGCACTGGAACAGGCTGCCCAGGGAGGCTGTGGAGTCTCCTTCTCTGGAGATGTTCAAGACCTGCCTGGATGCCTACCTGTGCGACCTGCTGTAGGGAACCTGCTTTGGCAGGGGGGTTGGACTCGATGATCTCTGGAGGTCCCTTCCAACCCCTGCAATTCTGTGATTCTGTGATAAATATTCCAAATTCCTTCAAAGCTCGTCCTTATTTCAGGTACCTTTTATTTTCACTCCAGCACAAGCAGCAAATAGAGACTAATATGTTGAGTGTTAAAACACATTGAAATTATACACATTTGTCTCTGAAGGTAAATTTTTATTTCAGTTTGTCAATGTCTTAATTTCAAGAGATACTTGCACTTAGTACTTAGAAACGTTAGTACTTTAGAAGCACTTCCCCTAGTTCACATCAGTCTTTCAACAATGTGTGCTTTCTTTACATGGATTACTGTAAAAATTGATTTGAAATATTTTTTGTCATTTATGAACTGTTGCAGACCGTAGCAAGATAAAAGTGCAATGAATTTCGGCAAGCAGACCTTACAATGCATTAAGATCCACACATGGAATATTAAATGCACTTTCTTCCTAATGATACCAGCTGGATTTATGTTCCCTCAAGATTCTCCCCACATGCTCCTTCCTTTCCCTGCATCTTCTAGATGCTTCATTGCAAGAAGATAAAATATCTCATGAAAACAGCTTTCTCTTACAACAAATTGTTTGAAACACCTAAAGTTCTAAGGAAACATTTAATCCTAACTTACTTTTTCTATCCAGTTCAAATTCCTGTATAGTTCTTCATCGTTTGGAATTTCATAAGTTTACAACACTCACGAATATCACTAATGAATCCAAAGACTAACAAATAAAAGTTATCGTTTTGTTCCAGTATCCAAGGATGTTTGCTATTTTTTATTAATTTGTATTTAATCTGCTCCTGCCATGTTGTACTGTTTGCTGATAGCAAAGGCAAGCAAGGGCAAATTCACACATTTGCGTTTTTGAGCAGAATACTGAATTCTGCAGTAGCTCTAAATTTTCAAGTTTTCATTCTCAAGTTTTCTTCTGTAACTTCAGATTTCTCAACAGTTCTGTTCCCTATATGCCTGCTGTAAAGAGCACACTTCGCCTGGGGTGTAGTATTCTTAAACCAAAATAACATTTCAGAAATAGACATTTAATGGGGCACTCCATGGTGAGCCAATTTAGAAAACAGAATAGCTGTGATGAGCTTCTGGTAGCTAGAAAATAGTTGGAGTTTCTTATGAGCAGATGGCTTTGAGCCAAAGAGGTAATAACACTGTAATCCAGCTAGAAAGCAGTGTGTAGTGTGGCATCGCTGTCTCCCACTATAACTAGATGCAGTCTCCAAGCCAGACAAAAGGTCGTAGGCACAAATTGCTATGGAAGAAAAGCATCAATAAGGATTTCAGAGCTTTCTTAAGAACACCCCAATGTCCACTTTTGTCTATCTGGAAAACAAAAGAATCTGTGCCACCACTACAAAAAAAATTCAAAAAACTTCCTTCTCTGAACAAGCAAATCCTCTAACTTTCTAAATCCTGCTTTCTTAATCATTAGTTAATACACTCAAAAAATTGATTTCCAAGTAGGTGTAGTATACAGATGCATGTCAAAGCATGAAAACTCACGTGCTGGTATGACAGTAACCTTCACAACAGCTAGATGGTGATGTGGATGCACAACCACTTTCTCAGGAGGAAAGTAGTCTTCTTAACATACTTGTGCCCAAACACTGAAGCACAGACAACAGGTTAATTCCAACAAGTATTTCACCCCCAAACCCATATGACTGACTTAACAGCACGGATATTTCTGCTTACAGAACCTAACACTTCACAGTCTAATCTTTGAAATTTCCAAAGGAAGGATAACAACAGACTTTCCACTGCAACATCCAAAAAAAAAAGCAGTCATTTAACAGGTATTGGTGATGACAGAGACCAAAGCCATAGCCTGAAGCCGACATTTTTCTGGAAGTCTCAGGAATGCTTGCCACATGATAGCCCAAAGCATTGAAAAGAGCTTTCTAGATCTTACTAAACTGCAGTAACAATGATAATAACCTGCAGTACTACAATCAAAGCACAGTGACTTTCTCTGTTCCTTTTTACGTAAAAAGAAAATAATGTGAATTAGAAGTAAGCCTATTCTCCAGCACAGCATTAGAACTAAAGTAAGACTGAAAATCAAACATATATTTTAAGACATTTTAAGTAAGTAAAAATTAACTGCTCAGATCCAGCCCACCTCTAACGAAAGACTTTGCCTCAGTGTTCTAGTTTAGAAATGACTAGGTTAAGGTTCCACATAATTTTCTTGAAGTCTAGTCTGCCTGTTGCTAAGCTGACAAATAGAACAGTATCTCAGTGACTTAAGTATCTGAAATACCTGCTCAGAAACTTTAAAACTAATAGGCTTATTTGATACCCATATAGAGGGTAGAAAAAAAATAATATGTGCTGCCTAAATATAGATTAGCCTTTACAACGGAGATATGAATATCCCGTGGGATTTCTATCTCTTAAGAATACACAACCAGCTACCAGGATGGAAATGAGAAATTAGTTCCTACAATGGAGGGAGCCAGAAAATTCAGTAAGCTACTGTAATTGTACATAAACGTTCTCATGAAGCATTCTAAAACATTTTAAAATCCAAGCTGCTACAGTTCACAGCATGCCACTTGCAGGAACAGACACAGATAGGCAGAAAAGGCAAATGGGCAATGGTTTTATAGATACATGGAAACAAACAGCTGCTACTTGACAAGAGATTGAAGCAAATAAATCAGCAGTGCATCAGTTCATCCTGTTCACTGGCTCCTGAAAATGAGGAGGCTATGGGTTGCTATAATAGAAAAGCATAATTTGAATAAATGGACATTTTCCATTTTAATTAACAGCTTACAGCAAGTGACACTAACATAAATTCAGTAACAGTCTGTAGCTTGGGATGCATCTCCTAACCTATTTGGAAAACATAGGTACAACTTTTCTTGTTACAGGAGGCATGTCAGTACATGAAGTTTGCATGAAAACAAAAAAGAAAGTGGATGGCACACTCTACAAAGATACTT